CGTACAGAAGCAGGGGAAGACCCGCCCCCATTGCAGGTCTAGAGAGTGCCAGGCCCAGAGCAGAAGTCCACAGCCCTAAGCGGGACCTCACCGTGGGCTCCCGGGCAGGCCAGGCACCCGCTGAAGGCTTGCGTGTCCTTCAGAAGCAGCGTCCTTGTTGGCCGCGGCGCCAGGGACCTCCTCGCAAAGGCCTGGACGCCCCTGGAGAGCAGCCACAGGTGCCGGACAGTTCACAAGCAGGTGGGAAACGGTATCATAGTCACTGGCCTTTGGGAGACAGTGAGGATCAGGTGGCCAGATAGAAATTTCTGGAGCAGAAGGCGATTAATGTAAAAGGGCTCCCCTAAACAGACCAGGTAGACACCTCTGAGAAAGTGTGTGTGATGACAGAGGGGGCTGCCAAGCCTTCCAGGTGTGGCAGGAGGGGAAGGAGGCAGTGGCTGTGCCGGAACTGCCTGACTTCAAACCCTGCGTTCCCACGCCACAGCCGTGTTTCCTGCGTGGCTCCGTGGTAGGCCCGCTCTCCTGCCCCAAGCGCGTCCTGTGTCCGGTATGTGGAGGAATGCTGCGCACGGTTGCCTTGTTTGAGGTTCATAGCGCATCTCAGCGTGTTCTAAAAGGCCCACTGTAAACACACTTTAAATCTGAACAATGGGGGCATTTGTCCCAAACTCTTTGCACCCCTACTGATCACGAACACGCTGCAGAGTTGCGTTCTGTGCGGCACGCTGGGAAACGTTACGTGGCACCACGTGCTGTGTGGCAGATGCGGGGGGGCCGGAGGGGTGGAGGAAGGCGGGAAGGAAGGGTGGATTGCAAGAACCACAGTCCCGGGGCTCCCAGATTTCTTAGCCCTGAGGAAGGAAGTTACTGTGTTTATTGCAGAGATGGGGGGAGATTGGGCCAGACTTAAAGGAGATACAAGGCAGGTCCAGGGCTGATGTTCTTGTATTTTTTCGGGTTCATCAGGGAGCAGGAATGAGGATGGTGGAGCTCTGAGGATGTAGCTCCGACAGCAGGGATGGGGCAGAGAGGCAGATGCAGAGCTGCCCGGGGGTGCACTCTGGGTGGCAGGCGCTGCCGGCTCTTCTTTGTGACTCGGTCCCTCTCGACAACTTTCCTTATTCTCCTTCCTTCTCTGTTTTTATCCACTTCCCCCCACCCTGACCTCCTTCTCCTCCTCTTTACTCAAATATCTGTCCCCTCCTGTCACTGCACACTTCCCAGGTGCCTTCTCTGTCCGTCTGTCTAACTACCCATAAGGGAGTGGAATGTGCGGGTCAGGTGCCTGTGTTTATATTTGATGCTGCTCAGGTAGATAGAGCTTTTTGTTCCTTTTTTTTTTTTTAATATTAGAAACAGCCGAGTTTGGCATTTTAAGTTTTTTTTCTTGTATCTTCAAACTGAATTGTGTTCCTTCTTGGTTACGAGTGATCCTGGACTAGTTTTATTCCCTTCCTCGCACCTGGACGCCCCACAGCACCCACTTCTGGACTCATTTGTCTGTGGCTGACCCTTGGGGACCCGGGAGCCCGGAGGAAGGGGCGTGCCAGTGAGGGACACTCGTGGGTGAGGGCCGCCGGAGTGGTGGACCGTCACGGCGCAGATCTCCGCTGATAAGCGTTCCGAGCGTGCCTGGGAGGATTCAAGTGAAACGCAGCAGGAGGGATGTCAGAGGAGAGCTGCTGCGTGGGGAGAAATGGTTGAATGGAAAATTATTTTTTCTTTCTCAGTAATTGCTTTGACATGAGCAGCAATTAGCCAACAGCTGACAGCCCAGAACTGAAGGAGGAAGGAGGGATTGGGTTAGGGGCAAAATGCCTCTCTGCGTTACACAGCCCCCGGCTGCTGCAGTGCAGCGGCTGTGAGCCTGCAGGCGGGCGGGACGGAGGGCAGGGGTTGGGCGAGCACCTGCAGGTGCTGGGGAGGTGTGGGCAGGGGTCAGAAGGACAGCGCTGCCCTCAGGAGCCGGGACAGACAGCCTTGGTTTGCGGGGACTCAGCGTCCTCAAGGAGGGAGACTGATGACCTGCCCAGGTAAAGACTGTCTGTTTCATTTTTGTGGCCCATCTGAACCGTGGCTCGGTTTTGTGTTGCCTTTGCTCAGTTTTTAGGATCAGGATAACGTTGGCTTTGTGAAACAGACCGGGAAACCTGCCACTTGTTCCTATGCCTGGGCTTGTCTTTCTTGAGAGCATGAAAGAATTTACCCATAAAACCATCAGGGCCCAGTGCCTTTGTTGGCAGGGAGGTTTCAACGGTTTTAGTCTTTTTTACTTTTCTAGTGTCCCTTGAAATTGTTTTGATAATTTGAGTCTTATGGAAGGTTTGGTGTTCAATAGCATAGAATTATAAATCATATGCTTTTGCAGTAAAAAAAAATAAATCTCTACTTCATTAGTACAACAGTGCTTATGTTTTCTTTCTAATTCCTAATTCTGAGCATTGGTGCTCACTCTCACTCTCCCATTACACTGGCTCGTCTGTTTTGTTTAATAGTTGTGATTCCTGCTTGCCACCCACCTGCCCTGGGTGGCTAATATTATCCTGTTTCCTAACGCATTAGTTCTGTTGCCACAGTTATATTTCTTTTTCCTGTTCTCTTTCGGTTTATTTTATTAGCCTTTAAAATTTTTTTTTCCTAATATCTTAAGTTGAATGTTTAGACTATTTCTGTCCCTTTGGGTTTGGTAATGAAATAATTAAGGCTGTAGATTTTCCTCCAAGTTATAATTCAGGCCTTATCCTGTTTGTTTTGGTATGTTCCTCTTTATTATTTTCTAAATATTGTATAATTACAGTTTAAAATTCCTTTTTGACCTGAGATGCTTTAAAGGGCATTTTCTTAAATTTCCAAGTATTTGGGAGTTGGGAGGCTGAGGACCTTGTATATTTATTCTTTCATTATTAATATCTGCTTTTATTGCATTATGGTCAAAGAATGTCGCCTGTGTTATATATGCCTAGTGCCATTTGTTGACGTGTTTATTTGTGGCTTAAATATGGCCAACGTTTTAAATGTTCAGTGGCTTCTTGGCAAAAAAAGAAAAAAAAAAACGTCATCTTTGTTTGTAGGACATGATATTTAAAATACACATTTTAATCAGTCTTTTAAATGAGATTATTCTGGTTTTCTTCACCCTTACGTTTGTCTGCTAATCAGTCCTAAACTAAAAAGTAGGGTACTGAGGTTTTTCAGTTGTTTTAGGCTTTAGACTTTGTAGCATTTGTGTTTTATCCATTTCAGTGCTGTGCTGTTTGATAACTAAGATTTCTCCAGTGTTAGGCCTTCGTTGTAGGGCGCGTCAGTCTAATGCCTTTCTTGGCATAGCTTTATGCCAATCAGTAGATTCTTCTTGGCCTCCCAAGCGTTCTCCTGGTGCTGTTGGAATCCTGGCCTCCCCTCTTAAGCTGTCTTTTTAACGGGCGGATGTTACCAGCCCTTGGCCGGCGGCCTACGGGGCATGGTGTGGACCAGGCCTGTAGCCGGCCCTGCAGGGCCGATCTCTAGTTTCTGTTTGCTCTGTGTGTGTGGGCCCACCTTCTTCTGGAGTGGGGGCAAGTGGGGGCAAGCCGTACAGGTCAGGGAGAAGCCCAGCTGCCCACTGTTGCGTGTGGCTCTGCTGACGGGTGGCCCAGGACTTCTTGCCGCAAGCATGGAGGATGGGGCACCTCCCCCAGCGCGGAAAAGGTTCTCCACGGAATGGTCTCCGTTGCCTGCTGCTCGCCGCCAGCCCCGGCCACTCCACATGAGTAGGTGTTGGCGGCTTTGGGCCGTTTTCTCCTTTGCTTCCTGCCACACTGCAGAGCTTTTTCCAGAAGAATCATGAGTTGGACATCAGTTTGTCTGTCTTCCCTCCGTCCGACCTGTGCTGTACATTCGCTGTGGTTCTTCCTCCAAGCCTGGGGCGTGAGAATGGCCTGTTTTCCTGGTCTCCAGAGATCATCAGGCTTGTGGTTCATGGGGACCCAGTTCGGGAACAAAAGCAGTGACCCTCCCATCTCTATCCCTCCCTTCTTTTTTTTAACAAAGTACTTTGTAATTTACTGATCCCTTTTGCAGTTATTGCCTGGTTGTATTGTCACACCACCGAAGTAGGCTTGGAGACCGGGTAGGATTATCCCCATTTTACAGATACAGAAGCTGAGGCCCGCTGAGGAGAAACCACCCCACTCAGTTGCCCCTCAGGCAGCACCGCCTCTGGGAACCGAGATTATAGGGGTCTCAGCGTGAGTCTGTGGATGTCGGGAGTGTGCAGTGGTGTTGAGGGTTTGAACACAGCCACGTGGCACAGAAATTAGCAGACACCATTATACAAATCAGGGCTCCTCCCTGCCCTTGGAGAGCAGGTTCATCAGCAAACATCAGGAGAATTAATGAGTGTCCCCCAAGAGACATAAAGTTATTAGGGTAGAATATTATTAGAACATCAATTTTTTTTTTTTTTTAATGTTGGGAAAACTGCAACTTGAGAATGAAGTGTGTATGATCACTTGACTGTTAACTGGCGGCGCCTAATTTCACGGCAACCAATAAACCCAGTCCTCTTTCCATTACACCCACATGACATTGCCTTGAGCTTCAGGGTGGAGAGGTTCCTCAGGGACAGGTGGAGGGACTGCGGTAAGGTGGCCGAGGTGCATGGAGAGAGATTGGACCCTTGATTGGCACCGTGACTGTCACTGACGAGGTATTTGCAGCCATGGCAGCTGGACTGTAGTGACCTCACCTTCTGTTAAGAACGTGCCTTTTGCTCTTGGGCTCAAGAAGAAATTCCATCCCTTTACAGTTCAGTGGTTGGGGTGCTGAGGAGTAGAGAGATGCTTTCAACCCATTTCCAGCTCTGCAGAGACTGATAATATCCCGCGGGATGGTCCTAGCCATGCAGGTCCGCTCTCAGAGCCCGGGAAGGAGGTAGGAGGAGGGGCTGCAGTGGCCCAAGGTCGGGGGTGCCCGTCCGGGGCCCGCACAGCATCTGAGCCGTGTCTCTGTCCCTGCAGTGAATGGATACCACGCGTCAGGGACCCCAGCGCACCCTCCAGAGACTGCCCACATGAGTCTCCGAAAATCCACCGGTGATTCCCAGGTAAGGGGCCCCGTCCAGGGAGGCAGGGGGAACCGCTTACACGGGCCCAGGAAGGTCCCGTTAAAGGTGTGTCTGTCATGGGAGTCCAGGGGGCTCCAGCCCAGTTCTGCCCCCAGGTAGCAAGTAGTTGGTGTATCTGGGTTGTTCCAGCGTTCCCTGACAGGGAGAGGGTTGGATGATTGTGGTTTGTCAGTTTTCTAGAAGTTGAGGGTGGTTTGGCAAAGGGGCTGACGGTGGTGGAGATGGAACCGGTGTCCTGACTCATGGAGTCTAGGTTCCCCATCACGTTCGGAGTGTGGGTGTGCCGGCCATTTTCCTCTTCTCTTCCTTACCCAGCCCACCCCCAGACTTTACCCAGAATGGAATTTAGTAGAATCTGCCAATCTCGTTTGATAAACTGGCATAGAGACAGCTATGGGATGGAAAGAAATGGGAGTATGTTTTTAGATTCCCAAACTGCTTTCTCAGTCTCCATCCCAGTCGACAGTCATGCAAACGTGTGAGGGAGGCATCAGCACCGCCCCGTGCTGCGCATGAGGTCGCGGAGGCCCAGATAGGTTAAGTGACTTGTGCAGGCCACGTGATGACTCAGTGGTCACAGCAGCTCGATGCCAAGTCCACGGTTTCTCCACGTGTGCTGAGCCGTGCCTCTGAGACTGAGGACTGGTCTTACTTAGTCTGCCCATACCTTGCCAAGAAGATGTTCTTCGCGAGGCCTCCAGACTCCACCAACCATTTCCAGGAATTGAAGTGCCAGACCCCCGGGTGACGATGATGATGATCAGTGATAACTGATAATGATTGTGATGATAATATTGCTGATGTTGCTGGTAGCAGTAGCTGCTTGCGCAGGGCGTCCTAAGGACAAGTCGCTGAAAGAAAGAGCCATTGATCTGTTACCACAGTCAGCTGAAACGTGACAGTCAGCTCCAATGTAGCCGAGAGTGTCAACTTTTGGAAACATTACTAAGTTGTTCTCTTAGGAGGCTGAGTGTTGGGCTCAGATTCAGCTTAGTTAACTCTAGAAGAGAAACGACATCAGTGTAGGTCAGGGCTTCTGAAATGCTGATGGAATTCTGAGTGACCTGGGCCCCTTGTTAAAAGGCGGATTCTGATCCAGGAGGTCGAGGGTGGGGCCCGAGGCTGTGTGTTTCCAGCCAGCCCCGAGGTGAAGCTGGTGCACTGTCTGAGAGGTCCACTGTCTGGTCCACGTGGCTGAGTGGGAGGGATCTGGGCACAGTCAACAGTGCGTACTCAGCAGGTTTGCTTGTCCCCTTCTCTCCTCTGCCCATGTCACCCGTCACCCTGGCTTTGTGTGTTTCTTACTGAGCTCCCAAATAGCCTTCTCAACACAGCTTCTATCAGTCTGTTAGAAGTGAAACTTGTCGCCTGACCTGTGAGTGTTTCTGGAGACTAAGTTCTGCTGTGGCTTAACAACAACAATAAAAAAGTGTGTGTCAACCCTCGGGATTATTAGGAAGAATATTGGAGAGACACATCGCCCCACCCTCAAAATCGTTCATCCTTCCCTGATAGAACATGCCGCCCCCCACCCCCAGAAATACTGTAAAGTTGCTGCTCATCCATTCGAAATATGTGTGCCGGTCTAACTTAAATCTCGGAAGCTGATCTAACAAGTGTGCATCATAAGCCATCAGCAGAGGAACTTCTCTTCCAGTGTCTGTTCTTGGAATATATTCGGAGTTTCTGATTTACGCGAAGGCTGCTCACGCAGGCATTATTCACACCACCCTCTCATCAGACCCAACCTAATTGTCCAGCAACAGGGGATGGTAAAACGGATTACAGCCCTGGACATCCGGCTAGCCAAAGATATTGCGCAGGCATTGAAAAGCATTCTTCTGAAGAGAATGTAATGATTTGGGGAAATGCTCACGACATAATATTGAGCAGGGAAAGCAGACCACAAGCTGCGTATATATTCAGGCTTATTTGGGAGAAGGGAATCTATACTTAGGTGAAGGAAAATGACTGGAAAAAAAAATAATAAACCAGAGCAGTTGTGGTTCTATCTGTGCTTCTCAATCCGGGGACATTTGGCAACATCTGGAGACATTTTCATCATCACAACTGGGGAAGGGGCTGCTGCTGGCAGCTAGGGGGTAGACTCAGGGGACATTGCCAAATATGCCGTGATGCACAGCACGCCACCACAACCATCATCCAGCTAGATACGGTATGGATTGTGCTGGGATTGAGAACCTCGGTCTAAGATCATGGGTAGCTTTATTTTCTTTACGCTTTACACTAGTTCAGATCTTCCAAAATGAGCACACTTTACTTTTATAGAAGACATATACAATTTTTTTTTTTATTTTAAAAAATGAAAGTTAGAAGGAAGGGACTGGTCTTGGGGGTTCAGGGAAATCCAGCTGTAGAGTTCCAGGCCGGAGTAGACAGTGACTGCCTGAAGACAGGTGCATTTGAGTAGTACTCTTTTGGGATGATAACCTTGGGAGTTGCAGTATCATCAAAGTAACAAAAATAAATACTGCAGTACATGGGGAGGGTGAACACGGATTCCTTCACCAGTTCCCAGGACTGTGGGAATGTTACTCTTTTAGGCTGTGAAAGGGTAACATTTGGGTACAAAAGCTAAGACTTTTTGATCCTAGTTTGTGAACCTATAGAGCCGGTTCTCCAAAAAGGTGCCAAGGCTAAGCATAGAAGAAGGTTAAGAAGGTTTGGTATTCACAGAGAATATTAATACTACCAACAAAGGATCCCTAAGTACTCGGCGAACACTCAGCGTGCAGAGTAATTTACACACATCATACCAGGCTGTCCATTGTAACTCATAATAATTATGCTTCTTTATGACTGAGCATGAATGAATGAATGAATGAGCAAATGAACACATGCCCATTTGAGATGCAGGGTGTGGGGTGGATAAAGTGGCTTGTTCAAGGTTACAGCGACAGACCCAGGCTGAAAAGCTCCAGATAGGAAAAGCGCTGTTGTGTTCTCTTCCTGCTACCTGCTAGCTGCCCCTCCTTGAGCAGGCATTAGAGTGTTGGGGGAGATGGAGGGCAGCCCTGATTCTCATGGGAACCAGGAGTGTGTCCCCACCGTGTTCTCTTGTGGGTAGGAGAGCACCTGCCCATCCGTCGTCCAGCCCTGGGAGACCTGCGTGGGTGGGTGCAGGTGGTGGTTGTCTGGCGCCACCCAGTGGAGGGTTTTGATTCTGCAGCCCCAGGCCAGCCGCCTGGGTACTAGGTAAATGGAGCCCACCCGGTGAGAGGGAGCAAAGGCTCCTAGTCTTGCTGGCTGGCATTTGCAAAAGCACGTCCTAATCTAGCCAGTCCTCTTCCTTCCTGCCCACCAGTGCTTAGGCCCTTTGGTGATCCACCTTTTAACATTCTGACTTCCCACGAACTTCCCCAGGAAGACCCTCTAGACATAGTAGAAAGGAAAGAGAATGGAACTAAGGGCTTGGAAACTTAAGGAGGGACCCATTGGAGAAAGGATTAAAGTGGAGAAAGGGAGTGAGATCCAAATGTCTACCATCTACCCACACACACTGTAATTCAGTAACACGCGTTCTATCGAGCATTTCTGTCTTTGCCAGGCACTGAGACACAAGCAGACATAGCCCCTGCTCCGGAGGTTTGTAGCTGGTGTGGGAGAAAGACATTAGATAAATGATTTTGCACTTTCAGCAGCGATAAGGGCTGGAGGAAGTGTATGCCATGAGGACCTAGCCTGGTGGGGGAGGTGTCAGGAATGGACTCCTTGAAAAAAGACATTTATTCTGAGACCAGAGGGTGAGCGAGGGTTTAGCTTGGCAGAGAGGTGGGGGGAAGAATGGCCTTCCAGGTGGAGGGAACAAGACATACGGGTGCCTAGAGGCAGGAAGGAGTGTGGTTTTCTCAAAGAACCAATGGAGGCTGAGTGCACTGTGGCTACTAAACTGGCAGGTGTATGGCGGGGGGTGAGCTGGAGGAGTCTGCACAGGCCTTTCACGACAAGCTTGGGTACTGAAAAGCCATCAAGGGGTTTCTTACAGGATCCCACCTGCCAAAGGGATGGGACCCAGAAGATTATGTTCAGGAAAGGAAATGGGCTGAGAAGACATTTGGAGCAGGCGTTTGCTGAATCAATCTGTTGTGAATGCCCTGCCACAGTTTCCCAAATGCCTCCTGTGTGGTGCCACCTTCTGTCAGTCCTCTGAGTGACAGCAGAGCTGCCCAGGTGGGGTCAGGGCTTTAAGGAATAAATGGAGGAGAAGAATTCTCTGGAATCATAAGCAAAGGGAATTTTTAAAATATGCTTTTATTATAGGCATTTGCAAACATTTACAAAAGCAGAGGGAATACTATCAACATAATAAATTATCTGGCCGGGCGCGGTGGCTCACGCCTGTAATCCTAGCTCTCTGGGAGGCCGAGCCGGGCGGATCGTTTGAGTTCAGGAGTTCGAAACCAACCTGAGCAAGAGCGAGACCCCGTCTCTACTATAAATAGAAAAATTAATTGGCCAACTAATATATATAGAAAAAATCAGCCGGGCATGGTGGCGAATGCCTGTAGTCCCAGCTACTCGGGAGACTGAGGCAGGAGGATTGCTTGAGCCCAGGAGTTTGAGGTTGCTGTGAGCTAGGCTGATGCCATGGCACTCACTCTAGCCTGGGCAACAAAGCGAGACTCTGTCTCAAAAAAAAAAATAAATAAATAAATAAATAAATAAATTATCGTTTAAGTCCAGTGATTACCTGCATTCAGCCAGTCTTATCTCATTTGTGCTCCCATCCACTCCCCCTAATCCCACTGTCCCTTTTGGAATATTTTAAAGCAAATTCCTGATATATTGTTTTAAATGCAAATATTTCAGAATGTATTTCTAAGTGGGAAGATAGAATCAGAATACAATTATAACACTTAAGAAAACATTAATTCAGTAACATCGCCCAATATATATAGTCCATGTTCACATTCCCCAGTTTTCCCCAAAATGCATTTTATGGCTGTTTTCTCCTCAGTCCAGGATCCATTCAAGTTCATACGTGGGTACGTCGGTTGCTGTGTCTCTTTAGTCTCTCTCTTTCTATTTAAAACTGCTTTATTGAGATAGAATTAATATAACTATGTAATCCATCCAGTTAAAATATACAATTCAGTGGTCTTCAGTATATTCACAGTTGTGCAACCATCATCACAGTCGTTTTTAGAATGTTTACATCACCCCGAGAAGAATCCCCCAAGCCTTAGGCAATCTATTCTAATTCTATTCTATTTCTACCTTCTACACTATTCTAATTCTACCTGCTGTCTCTACGAGGTTGCCTATCCTGGAAATCCCATACAAATGGAACCATGCTATATGTGGTCCTTCATGTCTGCCTTCTTTCACTTGGAGTGCGTTCGGGGTTCCTCCGTGTCTTAGCGTGTAGCACTCCATCCCTTTTTATGGCTGAATATTCTGTTGGATGGATAGACCATTTCATCACAGGGATTGCTTTGGTCTCTTTTCATCTAGAACCAATCCCTCACACATTTTTTCTTTTGTTTTTCTGCATGTTGACTTTTTATCTATTTATTCTTTAGGAATCCAGGTCAGTTGTCTTATAGAATGATGTACATTCTTGGTATAATTGTTTTCTATGCTTAGATTCAGGTGAAGCAGTTTTGGCAAGAATACTGTGCAGGGCATGTTGAGTACTTACTGCATTTTATTGGGTTTTACCCTTCCCAGGTTAGCACCCTGCTGGTGAGGCTTAGTTGCACTCTTGGTTAATGTGGTGACTACCAAATTTCTTCTTTGCCGGGGTGCACTTTCCTTTCTAACTCGTTAGTCATCTGCCAGGTGCCAGTGTGAGGCCACGTGAATATCCTGTTCCCTAACAATCTTTTCATTCAGTGTTTGGGGCATCCGGAGGATCAGCCTGAATCCCTTTTGACACGGGGGTTTGCAAATGGTGATTTCCTAATCCATTGTGTATTTTTACTGGCATTCCTCTGTAAGGAAATGTTCCCTTCCCCTTAGAGTTAATTAGTTATAGCCATTATTCATATTTGTGCCCGGATTGTCCCAAGTTTAGCCCATGGGAGCCCTTTATAGGCTGACGATGTCCTTCTGTTATCCCTCCATCATTCTTTGAATACTTTCTTACTGCTCAGAACAATAGGATATTCCAAGTCTATTTTGCCATGTGGAATTAGCTCCAAGGAGCCTGGGTTCCTTTCAATACCAAATAGTATTTAGAAACCGATTTCTAGCTAGTAGGTGTTATGACGGGGATGAGATATCATTCCTTCTGGGCCCTTTCAGTGCAGCGCTATGGGGGGGTGATGTGTGTGTGTATATATGTGTGTGTGTGTGTCTATATATAAAATGCATGCATGTGATATATGTTTGTGAAATTAGAGTAACAGGCACGGGTTAGCAGCAGCACACACAGAGCCTGAGATTGCCTGTGCCCCACCCTGGTCTGCACCAGGTGAAGTCATACATGGCCAGTAGAGCAGAGACCAGAGAGGGTGCTGACACCCCCCCCCCCCCCCCGACACCCACCCTCAGTGCCATCACTTGTATTTCTGTCCTGGCCAAGTTACAGGAAATGTGACCTCCATGTCCAGCCTCATTCTACAGAGCCTTGTGCACAGTGTTCCCAAAATATGTTTGTGGATAATGGAAATCTTTTTTGCCACCCCTGAAAAGACATCTGGAAAACAAGACCCTGTCCTGGGTCTCCAAGTGGAGAGATGGCGGGAGATAGAGGGAAGAGTTCTATAGGCTTAGGTTCCGGTTTCCACTCCTCTCTTAACTAGCCTAGTGACCCTGGAGAATTTAACTTCCGCAAGCCTTAATTTCATGATCTGCAAAATGAAGTTGATGCCATTTAGCTTGCCTGGGCCGTGAGGATGAAGGGAGATTCAGCATGCCAAGTGGCTGGCCTGGTGCCCGCCACGACAAGCACTCGGTGGACAGTAGCTCTTGCAACGCTTCCTTCCTCTTCGTCCTCCTCCTCCTCCTCCCGCCCCTCATCGCTGTCAGCACCAGCATCAACCTGTCGACGCGAAGGCTGTCGCCCCGGCAGCTGGAGCACTGGTTGCCCTCCCTACAGTGGGAGCACCGTGGTGGTGGTGGCGGCAGTGTCCGTCCACGGCAGGGGGACACCTGCAGACCACAGCATCCATCCCCACGGCCACCCCTGCCCCTTCCTGGCATGTGTTTGCTCGGCCAGTGTCCCTCCTGAAGGAGCTTGTGGAGAAAGGCCTGTACTTGTCTCTCCTTGGCGACTGGCACCTCCCACCCTGCAGCCTCTGCCTTCCTCCCGGGCAGTGTTGGCGAGTGCCCTGGGGCGGAGCCGATAGCTTGGGCGGGCGGGCCGATGCACTGAATGTCTGTGGAAGCTGTAGCTGGCCACGGGCCTGACGGCCCCCGAAGCCTGTTGGGGTCGCTGGAGGAGTGGCCATAAGTAGAGGCGCCTCAGTGAAATGGCAGAAGGGGGATCCGTGGAGCCTCCAAGGGAGGCTGCAGGTTCCGCACCAGAGACGCTGGCAGCACCTGGGACCTGCTGGGCCAGGTCCAGCTGGGTCTCCATTTTGAGCACTTTCCTCGGTTGATTCTGATACACCACAAAGCTTGAGGACCAGTGAAAATCCATTTTACAGATGATGAAACTGAGGCTCAAAGAAGTCAAATTCTTTGGCCAGGGTCTCAAGGCTAGTAGTCATTTTCTTGTCTGTGAAGTGGATGCCCTGCAAGGTCCCTTTTTGCTAAGGGTATGGGTTTTCGTGAGTTAACTTGCCCGCCCACGCAGGGCTGTGCGGGAGTAAGGGGATGAGACCACGGCAGGACTCAGTCAAGCTCCCTCTTTGGCCCAATTCACCGGTGGGTTCCTGATGCAGGGTCTGGCCCCCACCTGCCAGTGCTCACCCTGCCAGGTGTCCAGGGTTGCGCTGGCCGGGGGTGGTGGTTCTGGGGGTGCTTCTTCCCCTGACGCTCATTGGGGAAGCCCTTCCATGCTTCTTCTGACCTTTATCTATACAGTGATGGCCACTTCCTTACATTCTGCCTTACATGCTGCAAGTCCAGGGCCACATGTGTGATGGCCACCCCTGGTGCCTTGGGGTAAGCCTGCTTCCCAGGTGATTGTGGGGCTCAGGACAGGAGACACCCCAGGTCCTGCTCAGGGACTTCCGGTGTAGAGTCCCTACCATCATTGCTGATAGAACAAGGACTACCCGGAATGGAGCATTCCCTTTAGGCTCACAGGGCAAAGGTGGTGTTTGTCCACCAACTGTTTTCCCTGCAAGAACCATCCCGGGACTCTGGCAGGCTGCTGAGGACCCGAGGGCTCGGGGCTACCTGAGAAGCAGGCGGTGGGACTCTGGAGTTCTCGCTGGCGATGGGGAAGACGTAAAAAGGCAATCTAGAGACTGAATGGAAGCTGAAACTCAGCCTGGCTGGGAAATCCCTCCTGGCTCGCGGCGTGGGGAGAGAGTGGCAAGGCAGGGAGGTGGCTGAGCAGCGCCCCAGTGCACACGGTGTGTATTTAGGGTTGGATGTTTTGGACCTGGGGGCTTGAGAATAAAATGTCATGTGCTGAGTGTTCAGAGCCAGGAGGTGGTGGCCTGGGAACTGCGAGCTGCCTTAACTCTCTGCTCCCCAGCGGGTTCCCCGCTCAGGCAGCAGGCAGCGAACAGATCCGTTTTCCAGCAGCGGGCAGCGCAGGGGTTAACTCCCCAAATCACAGGCAGGGCGGAGAGGAGGGGAGACCTGCTTTGGAGCAGTCTTCTCAGAGCCCGCGCAGGAGGCTTCCTCCGGTTTGCTTCCAGCCTGAACCGGGCATGGGAACAGCATGGGATCAGGGACGCTGCCACCTGCCCTGGCCCAGAATGTGGTGCCTTAGGAGTTAACGCCAGGCTGAGCATCCCTGAACTTCCCCAGCACAGGGCTTCTCACCAGTCCCTCCCACTCAGGGAGCCTGAATGGGGGGAAAGAAAGTCCAACATGGAGAGCAGCTCTGACGATGTTTCTTGCCTCTCTCCCCAGAACCTGGGATCCTCGTCACCAAGCAAAAAGCAGAGCAAGGAAAACACCATCACAGTAAGTGGCTCCCGGGCGCTCCCAGGCGGGGCGGCAAGCTGGGGCATTTGGCCACAGTGGCGGGGCTGTTGCCATGGCGATGTGGACCACCAGGCAGAAGTGATGCCCAGCCTGGAAACGGGGAAATTCCAAAGCTCGGATCAGCTGAAATTCCCCTCCCTCCCCCACCCCTCCCTTTCTGCTGTCAGTTTCACATTTCACTTATTCTCTCCTGGCAAACAAGTGGAAGAGGGCGGCTGGGAAGAGGCAGAAGCCATTTTTGCAGGGCGGGCAGGGGAAGGTGCGCCTTCGGGTGTGGGTTGAAGGGGGTGGACTGTGCTCAGCACAAGTGATGTGACGTGTAAATTACAGCCACAGCAGGGTTGCTTTTGTGCAGGGTAACTTCTGCAAGACGGCAAAGTTAAAAGCAAGGGAAAGCGCCCTAAGAATAGAGTTCCTGACAGAAGGGAGGCAGCTTCTGCACGAGTGGCCGGCCTGCCTCCCAGGGCTCTTCGAAACGCCCGCCAAGTCCCCACGTGTGGGCTCAGGAGCCCCACCCCCACCTCCCCCCCACCCTGTGCTCAGGGAGGGTGGCAGCTGGGCATTAGTGCCCCTACAGCCCACAACTTGGAGACCTGAGAAGTGTGGTCCTAGGTTTGCTATTTTGGCACAACCATAGGAGAGCAGGGAACAGGGACTTGCTCTCTTGGGTGCCATCTCATATCATTCTGACCACCCCACAGAGATAAAACCAAGAGTGAGTGCATTTCCCTGGTTCATCCAGGCTGAACATCCTGCTGTGGAAGAAAAATAGGTTGAGGCAAACAATAACAACAACAGTAATAATTGCTACCACTTTAGTGGCCAAGTGGCTCATTTAATTGTCCACTAGCTGTCTGAGGTGTAGCTAATAGAATCAATGGCATAATCACTCTGAGGCCAGAGTGCAGATGACTTTAATTACTAACTGTGCAGCAGCCTGGGGCAAGTTTCTCAACTTCTTCCTGCCTCAGTGTCCGCATCTGTGAAATGGGGAAATGAGAGGGACAGAATACGGACTGAATGGGTCCACATATGTAAAGCACTTAAAACAGCACCTGGCGCATAGTAAGTGCTTGGCACACATTAGGCTTATCATCATGCTGTTCGTAGATCTGGAAACTGAGGCACAGAGTGGTACCTTGATCAAGGTTGCCCAGCTAGGAAGCATCAGGGCCCAAAACCTGTGCTCTTACCCAAAACCGGGGCAGGGCGTATCTGGAGCTGGTTTAGGGCACTTGGGCCACGGGCTCCTTCCAACCTCCCAGTGGAGTTTGCCTCCCAAGGGCGGGGCAGAGGGGCCCGTGGGTCAGCTGCCTCCCTCGTAGGGGTGGGGCTGGTGGAGCTGGGCAGGGCGTGGGCAGGCCCGGGGGTAGACTTCTGGAGGTCACAGTCCTCATCTTCTTCAGATTGTCACAGAATGCCCTAGAATGCTGGGGCAAAGCAAGAACTTCCCAAAGTCTCTTGAAATAGGTGAAAGGAGGAGAAGAAAGTGGTAGAAGGTGGGGGGAGGCATATTAGAATTTTAGAAGAAAGATGAAAAAGAGCGATGTGGAGTGAAAAGCGGAGGGTTATGCACCTGGAGTTGCCTTAAGGCCTTAGTGGTGGCCGCCCAGGCCACGGAGTGAGGCACCTGCTGGGCTCTGAGCTCCAGGTTTGGTCAGAGTGGGCTGAGTGTGGCCCTGGGTTCTCCCTGGGGTGACACCTTGTCCATCCCTGCCTCGGCGCCTGCCTGCTCCTCCCTGATGGCCTACGACGTTGCTCCTCTCGAGAGGATCTGCAAAGTGTAGTCAGCATCCAAGGCCCCCAGGATCCTGATTGTGGGGCCCCACACTTGCAGTTGTCTCTCTGGGGCCAGTCTGGAAAACATGCATTTGGACCACCACCCTCCGGAGGTTTTAAATAAGCGCTCATGCCTTGGAGAATCTGTGCTGGGGAAAGTAAGCAAGGAAGGGACTGGCCAGAGGTCACAAAGCAAGTGAGGAACGGAGCCCGGGACTCGAACCTGGGTCTCCTGGCTGCCACCGTGGCCCCATGCATCTGCAGGCTGGTGGGCTTCCTTGCAAGCCTTGGCTCTGAAGACTTCTGCCCTCTGCTCCGTCCCTCCACCCGGCACTTGCTGCCCCGTGCCCAGCCTCCCCCTCTCAGTTCTGATCCTCCAGAGCTCGTGGGTTCCCAAGGAGGAGACGCACAGCGGAAAGGGGTGGCCCCACTCCCGGGAGTCTAGGACATCCGCTTTCCTCCCCCTGGCACGTGGGGACGAGGTGAGCCACTTCCGAAGCTGTCTGTCCCCATGGAGCAGGAATTTCCAGGCCTGGGCAGCAAAGGGTGTTGGTTTGGAAGGGACAGACACGTGGGCTCCCTGGCAGCAGCGGGCGGGGCTGGCAGTGGAGCTTGGTCTCGTCCTGCTGTCACCCACACAGGGCTGGCAGGTTGAGTGTGCCCTGTGATTGGGAGTGACGGGTACTAATGGCAGCTCGCAGCCCTCGGCACACTTGTGACACGTCGGAATCTAGAGCGTTCCAGAAAAGATGACAACAAAGCCAGCCAGCCATTCTCTCTCCTGGAGATAGGAATTTGGGGGTGCCTGTGGCCCTCAGCTTCCCAGCATAGCCCGTCTGAAGCCAGGGAGCCGGGGTGGGAGCTGGGGGGCTGGAGACGAGCCCTTGGGGTCTTGTCCTTTCTGCTACGGGAGCCTCAGCGCTGGCTCTTCCTCTCCTGCACCCTCCCAGATCAACTTTCCTCCAGGGAAAATTCAGGGACTCACAGCTTGAGCCCTTAGCTGTTGTCAAACCATCTTCCCTTCTTGGCTGCCGGCAAGCTGGTCGGACAGGCCTTGGCCTCTACTCCCTCCCAGCACAGGCGGGGCCAGGCCTGGGGGAGGGGTGCCTGGGAGCCTCCCTGTCAGACCCTGGCAGGTCACACTCCTGCTGTGGCCAGGTGGCTCCCTGGCCTCTGCTGCCCCCTGTCCCCGCCCCGGGTACCCTCAGAGAGTTTCTGGGAGGCAGCCCTTGTGGTTCCGGCTGCCCCCCTGCAGAAGGGCCCTGGCAGGAGCCTGGCAGCACAGTGCAGGCCCCGCAGCTGGGGAGGGGCGGGGGTGTTACTCCAAGTACTGAGGGTTGAAAACACTGGGTGCAAGAATGAAGATGCGGCTGGTGGAAGACGGTAACTTGGCTGCTGGAACTTCCCCGGCCAGTATACATGGGGAGGTGTACCCCTCTCATACCCGCTCTCGTACTCCTGCCTCGGGTGGGGCTGTGGCATGTTTACACCTCAGCATGTTGGGACGGTAGTGTCTCAGGTTAAGAGCCTGCGCTCTGCAGCCAGAGTGCCTGGGCTCAGACCTGGGCTCCACCATTCCATGCAGAAGCTGTGTGATCTTACGTAAGTTACTTAACCTCTCTGTGCCTCAGTTTCCTTATTTGTAAAATGGGGATAATAATAGCACCTGCCTTACATTGTGGCTGTTGTGAGGATTAAATGAGCTAACATGTGTAAAGCACTCAGAACTACGGCTGGCACATTGTTAGCTTGTGTTGAACGAATGGGAAGTGGTCCCTTAGAGTATCTTCTGTGTTTGCAGGGTGGAGGGTGGAGTTGAGGCCCCTCCTGAGAGGCCTTAGGAGGAGGACAAGCTCCTTCTCAGAGGTGTAGCTGGACCCTGGTGTCACTGCCTGGAAAGTGTCGCCCAGGAGGGGGCAGGACCTACACAGGGAAAGGCCTGTCCTACCTTCTCTTCCCTTCCTTGGGCTTTGGGCCCTGCAGGATGGAGCTGTGTGGTCCTCCCAGCCCTCCTGGTCCAGGGACACAGGAGCCTTGACTTTGAGGCCTGGAGGTCACAGAAAGAGCAAGGATAAGAGTGGTGGCCCATGAGGTAGGACGCCGGCCCTGGGCCCTGCTCTGCCGCTCACAGGGGGCTGGAGAGTTAACCTCGTCACCTGTGCGTGGGTGTGCACCAGGCCGTCGCAGGTACGCCCGCCAGCTCTGCCTGTTCCTGGGCTTCACCACCACCACCCCCCTCTCCGCATCCACCGTCTCCCCCCTTTTCTCAGCCCAGTGGCGAGAACACCCTTCCTCCCCACCCAGGCCCGGCGGCTCAGGGTTTTATGGCCCCAGCACTACTGACATATTATAGGCGGCTCTTTGTGTGGGGGCTGTCCTGTGCATTCTAGTTCATTTATCAGCTTCCCTGGCCTCTACCCACCAGATGCCAGTAGCACCCACCCCACCCCTGCACAGTTGTGACAACCAAAAGTGTCCCTAGGCTGCCAGATGTCCCCTGGGATGGGGTCAAAATCGCCCCTTAGAGTCGCTGAGTTAACTTCACGGTGCTGTTGGGTCTGTCTGCAAAATAACCCAAAGTGCTACCTGTGCCCTCCCAACTACCTGTCCCCTCCCAACTACCTGTCCCCTCCCAGCTACACTGCTCAGAGCCCATCATGAGCCCTCCAGGTCACCATAAAGCCCCGCCCCCGTGGTTAGTCACCTCTCCAGTGCCACCTCTGTGCTGCAGGGGACCCTCACCCCAAGGAGCAGCCCAACCCAGTCACTCTCCTGCTGGACCCTCCCGTGGCTGCCACTGTCCCGCTACCTTCAGGGCAGACTTGAGGGGGCCTGGGCGCACCTGCTGGGCCTTCTCCCTCAGTCGTGTCTGCTGCCTGGCTCTGCGCCCAGCCAAACAGAGCAACAGGTCCCCACGCAGGGCGATGTCCCCACTGGGGCCCTCTTCCTTCCCGCAGTACCCCTTCACCTCCGCCCTCTGCCTGCCTCGAACCCACTCCCTACATCTCCCCAGCCCTTCTGCCCAGTCCTCCCTGCCCTCATCCTCCCTGCTCAGTCCCTCCTGCCTCAGTCCTGGCCCTTTCAGGTGTCAGCACCGGAGTCACCCATTGATATCCCAGCTCACGACCTCCGTCAGTGGAGGCAGAAACTGCTTAATCTTGCCTTAGCATGCACAAGCAGCACCCACTGATCACCCATTCGCCCAGCACCTTACCACTACGTGCCTCCTAGTAGGGAACCTCACCAGGAAATGTTCCCTCCCTCCCCCAGACGCTGTCTGCAAGGAGAGAGTGTACATAAACCTCACAAGAACGATGACCATCTCATCCTGCGGCTGCGTGTGTCCACGTGCGTCACGAGTCTGGATGCAATGCAGCAACGGCCCCCGCCGTGCGACTTCACTCTATCGCTATCGACTCAGACCCAACGTCCATATCCTCAGTCCCAAGGACGAGGCTGGCCGCCTGTTGCTGAACGAAGCGGACCTCGCAGAAAGCCAGGCGCCCCATGACCCCGCCCTTAACCTCCGGCTGCGAGCGCAGCTCCGGTGCCCACCAGGCGCGCGGCCCTGAACTTGAACCCAGTGCGGCTGGAGATCCAACCAGCGTGGCAATGTGACAGGCAACCTGGAGCCCCTGACCTGCTTGTCCCAGGACTGGTGTCCTCAGAGTAGCAGAAGAATGAGTCCTTAACATGCCCCCATCCCGCTCCCTTCACTCCTCTCCCCAGCCCAGCGGGTCCTCCGCAGCCTCCTCGCCTTCCAGACCGCTGGCCCTTCTGGTCCTCGAGGTGGGCCTCTCTCTGGGAGGCCATGTAGGACTGGAAGAGCAGGGCCCCGTGGCTGGTTCATCTTTGTGTCTTCTGTTGCGGGCACAAGGCCCGTGCCCGTCCCTGCTGACCGGGTCACAGACGCTGGTTCTCAGAGTGTGGCGCCCCCGGCCATCAGCATCACCTGGGAGCTGGGCCCCACCCTGAGCTCCCCAATCAGAAACTCCAGGGGAGGGACCCAGAAACCTGCGTCCCCCAGGTGACTCTAAAGCATGCTCAGCCGCAGCTCTAGGGCAAAGCAGGGTACCGAGTGATACTTAGGAACGGCCTCAGCCCTTCCTCAGCCCTCCTCAGCCCTTCCTCAGCCCTCCTCAGCCCTTCCTCAGCCCTTCTCAGCCCTTCCTCAGCTCTCCTCAGCCCTCCTCAGCCCTCCTCAGCCCTTCCTCAGCCCTCCTCAGCCCTTCCTCAGCCCTTCTCAGCCCTTCCTCAGCTCTCCTCAGCCCTTCCTCAGCCCTTCCTCAGCCCTCCTCAGCCCTTCCTCAGCCCTCCTCAGCCCTTCCTCAGCCCTCCTCAGCCCTTCTTCAGCCCTCCTCATCTCTCCTCAGCCCTTCTTCAGCCCTCCTGAGCTCTTCCTCAGCCCTTCCTCAGCCCTCCTCAGCCCTCCTCAGCCCTTCCTCAGCCCTTCCTCAGCCCTTCTCAGCCCTTCCTCAGCCCTCCTCAGCCCTTCTCAGCCCTCCTCAGCCCTTCCTCAGCCCTCCTCAGCCCTTCCTCAGCCCTCCTCAGCCCTCCTCAGCCCTTTTGTGGCTGGGCTTGGAGCCAGCCAGGATTCGTCATGGCAGGGGCTGCCCCTGGCACCGTCTCGCTTCAGGCTAACAGGCATGTCTTTGCCCAGAGCGTCCCAGGGTGGGCCGCAGCGTCCTTTCTCCGAGGTCTCATCTGGAGAAGAAGGCTGGGCAAGACCCGTTTCCCCTCGTCCAGCCCACCTTTGGCCAAGCCACCTCCCATCACGGCAAAGCCCTTCTCAGTCGGAGGATGTTTCCCCAACAAGAGGCCGGGACCAAGAGCAGCTTGGCTGGGGGGGACCAGGGAAAGGGTGGAGGATGCCCGGGGAGCAGGGGGCTCAGGAAGGCATCCAGACCCCTCTGAGTGCCTAAAACCCACTAGCACTGTGATTCTTAATGAATGCCCAGTTTACTTGAATGTCATGGTTAATTTATCATCACATTTGACTGAAATTGTCATGGGCTACGTTATTAAGCAAAATAAAGGGTAGACTGTGATCACCGTTATTTGTTGAAGCAAGAATAGCTGGAACACGAAACATGGCATACGTGAAACTTTGAAATCCTTTCCTTGTTTTCTTGGCTGCCGCAAGTGACACCTGCTTGGCAGTGGGCTGCGGGCTGCGGGAACCAGTGACAGGGACTCACCTCCGGACACACCTTGGGGAGTCAGCCGGGAACAAGGGGTTGGCTGGCCGTAGGAGGCTGGCCCTCCGGTCCTGCGGGCTGCTGCAGGCCAGTGTCACCCGGGGAGGAAGCTCCCCAGCCCAGGGAATCCTCCGCCCCACCGTGACCTTGGCCGAATTCAGCACTGCCTGTCTCATCACCAGGGACCCTCAGTTATTCCCGCCCCTAATCCTTTCTATTGTGTCTCCCTACCCTCCAGAGTGGGGGGCTCCGTCCTTTGGGACTTGCCCCCCCACCACAAGTGGGGCCTGTGCCCCTGACAGTTGGGAAGGGGGTGGGGCTAGGCTTACCCCAGCCGCCCTGGAGCCCCTAAGCCAGAGGTCATGACCGGAGGCCCATGGGCCCGACTCTGCTGGCAGAGGAGTCTGTTGGGCCCACACGGTGTTGTTGTTGTTGGCATTATTATTATCTTAAAACCTCAAATTAATTGACAACACTTAAAAGACTATGTAAAAAATGCCCATCTTCAGCTGCTCTCAGCCTCACATAGCCGGACACACGGGCCTCTCATACGGGGCCTCTCATACGGGCGTGGGCGGCAGTGGGCAGTGGCTGAAGCTGACCCTGCCCTTGGACGCATCCCGCAGGAACCCGGCCTGCCCGCGCGGGAGGCTGCTTTTTTCCCAAAAGCTTTGGCCGTGGGGGGCCGCAGTTTCTGCACCGTGCAGTGTGCCTCGCGGGCCTGCCGTGCCCTGTTTCCTGGCGGTGCTTTGGTGGTCCTGGCGGGCCCCAAAACCTCAGGGGTTTTTTGGGAGACAGAGCGTCACTCTGTTGCCCAGGCTAGAGTGTCATGGCTGGTCAGCTAGCTCACAGCCAACTTCGAAAACTCATGGGGCCTCAAGTGATCCTCCTGCCTCAGCTCCTGAAGTAGCTGGGGGATACAGGCATGTGCCACTGCACCTGGCTAATTTCTTCTATACTATATTTTTAGCTTGGCCACATTAATTTTCTGTTTTTAGTAGGACGGGGTTCTCATTCGTTGCTCAGGCTGGTTTCGAACTCCTGACCTTGAGCGATCCGCCCGCCTCGGCCTCCCAGAGTGCTATAGGATTACAGGCGTGAGCCACCTCGCCCGGCCCGTTCTTTTCTTTAACATTTGACATCTCCCACTTCAGCAGGTGCTTGGGCTGTGAGGTGCAAGCCTGTTAAAGGCCCAAGAGCTTAGGCAGTCCTTGCTCCCACAGTGAAAACGAAGTAGCCTGCTCCGTGCGAGAGGGAGGGTCTGGGGCTTGATGCCATGTGGGCGGAGCGTCGGCAAAGCCACTGCCACAGAGCTGGGAGAGCCGGGAGCATCTCAGACTCTCAGACGCGCACGGGCAGGAAAGTCCGAGACCACCCAGGAATCTCTGCGCTCACTCTTCTTGGCTAGGGCCAGCCCAAAGCGTGCACCCTGGCTCATAATTTTAAACTGTATTTGTTCATTTAATACATATCATGAGATAAAATTTGCAAAGTAACCTCTGATCCTTGACCCTCACCCACAGGGTTCCTTTCCTTGGAAGTATTCGGCATGTAAATAACCGAATGTGTATGCAGGTGGCCCTTGAACAGCATGGGGGTTAGCAGTAGTGACTCCCCATGCACAGTCAAAAGTTCATTTGTAACGTTTGACTCCCCTAAAACCTTAACTAATAGCCTACTGTTGAACAGAAACCTCACTGATAATGGTTGATTAACACACATTTTGCATGTTATGTGTATTATATACTGTATTCTTATAATATAATAAGCTAGAGAACAAAGTGCTATTAAAAATCGTAAGGAATAGAAAATGTATTTACTATTCATTAAGTGAAAGTGGATCATCACAAATGCCTTCGTCCTCGTCTTCACACTGAGCAGGCTGAGGAGCAAAGGGAGGGTTGGTCTTGTTGTCAGAAGACAGGCAGAAAAAATCCACATGTAAGCAGATTCACACATTTCAAACCTGTGTTGTTCAGGAGTCGACTGTATATCCCCCCTCTTTTTAAGCACACGTGGTAGCATACTGCAGTACGCTTCTCTTGCCCCCACCTACCAGCATAGCCTGGCACGCTTTCCTCATCAGTACGTAAGAACTTGACCACTGTGTCCGGTACGATTCCCGTAGGTGTCTGTCTGTCTGCACTTTGTTTACCCATTGCCCTGCTGATGGACAGCATAACTGTGCGCCGGCCTTTGGTGACTATAAATAGTGCTGTAGTGAGATACCACGTGTGCACGCTATTGCACACACACGCAGACGTGTCTGTAGGGTAGACTCTTGGCAGCGCCGTTGCGGGGTGGAAGGTGCTGGATGTTTGCAGTGTTGATCCTGTTGGACTACCTTCCAGGGAGCTCCTGGTGATTCGCAGGCCCTCTGGGGTGGATGAGTGGCTGTTGACCCTGGTGTGAAATGCCGGCCACTGGAGCATGCAGACACCCCTGGGCATGTTCTGTGAAGCTGGCCCCGTAGGGAGGCCTTGTTAGTGCTGGGTCCCGGGCACAGGGCCTTCCCTGCTTCTCCTAAGACTCCAGTGAAGTCGTCTCATGTCTTGCTCTCTGCCCTGCAGATAAACTGCGTGACGTTCCCCCACCCAGACACAATGCCTGAACAGCAGCTGCTGAAACCAACCGAGTGGAGCTACTGCGACTACTTTTGGGTAAGTGGTGCCTCGGTTTCCCCTATGCAGTGGCCCTGGTTGCTAGGAGAGGCCTGGAGCTCAAAGTGGAGGGGCATTTCTTGTTGAAGCCTGAAATGACATGGCAGTAGATTCAGCATCTGAGACGGGATCTCAAGACCCTTTTGGGATCCAGATCACTCCGTCAATCTCAGGCAGGCCGCAGGGCTGTTCACGGCAGTACAGAAATCCCAACCAGAATGCAGGGCAGCTAGAGGGCCGTTTTCCTGACGCTCCATGAGGGCAGGAGACTAGAGCCAGCCCCAGTGAGTGAGTCTGGGCTCCATACCTGCTGCCACCATGTGAGAAAACTCGGACAGGTAGTTTGCCTCCTTGGGCCTCTCTGGTCCCACCCAAATCCCAAGGACGCTGCGTGCACGGCTGTGTAGAGAGCTCCAGCTTCAACAATCCTGTGGTTCCAGAATGTTTGCTTATTGTCTGATGGACACAGTTTTAGTTTTGCAAGATGACAAGAACAGCTATGACTTTCAAAATTAGATCACCCCATTCTGGAATCATACGGTGGTGATGGTTGCACAACCTTGTGAATATTTTAAAAACCACCGAATTGTACATTTCAAAAAAAAGTATGCAAAGACCCTGAGGAACAATAAATAAATTGAATAAAAACTTGTCTTCACCACCGTGCAGAATGGATTATCTATCCTGTTTGAGATTCGCTAACCGAATACCAAACAGAAGTGTTTTTAACTTTCTGCCAAGTCACTCGGACCTTAGAAGGCACGCCGAGATTCCTGTTGCTCCCAGCCACCTCAGAGGGACAACTGCTAGTGTCCCGGCTCTGTTGCTTCCAGACAGAGACCTGTGCAGAGGTAGAACAGCACAGAAAGGGCTCAGGCCTTGGCATCAGACAGACCTGGGGAGGTGAGCTCGGGACCGGCGTGAGCAGGGATCCGAGTGCGCGCGGCTTGGTGGGCCCGGGGCTGGCGCCAGGCTGCATTCTCTCTGCTGCAGGAGGACGTTGGAGGCCTTGAGCAGAAATGTGCTGTGCTGTGAGTCACATGCAGGCAGGGGTGGAAGTTGAGGGGTGAGTGGGGAGACCAGACGAGCCGTGGCAGCAGCAGAGGCGGAAGGATGTGGCCGTTGTGGGACCGTGAGCCCTGCAGAGGGCTGCGGGACAGGAGCGTGCAAGGGTTTGGGCCCAGGGAGAAGCATCCTGGGAGCCGGGGTCAGCGTGGGGTCTGGAGCCTTGGGAATCCGAGGGGGCGTGAGAGAGTCTGCCCATGGCCAGCAGTGCCCCACAGAGGACACCTGCAAATCCTTACCTTAATGCGAGCCCTCTGGGGGACCCTGGCAATCCTTATCTTAATGCGAGCCCTCTGGGGGACCCTGAAGCTTAGTCTGGGGTTTTCATCTCCCTGGCCGCCAGGCCCTTTTCTCTAACAGAAATTTCTCTCCGCTGACATAGCCTGTTTCTTCTGGCCGGTTTTCTCCGGCGTGGATGGATTGCTTAGTCTACCCATCCTAGAAGGGAGACAGATTCGGGCTCAGAGTTCAGATAATTTTCCGTTTGCCTTTTCATCAAAATGTAGCATTCATAGACCGAAGTGCACAAATCTTCGATGTATGTGGATATAAACTTTCAAATGGCAAGAGCAGCCTCAGTACGGCGTGATTCACCCCGTGTGGCAGTGCTCTCCTGTCATGAGAGGCATTAGCAGTGTGGCCAGATGCGTGTTGGGCAGGAAAGGGGTATTCAGGTGAACTCGGAAGTACAGGTAAAACAAAACAAAGGAAATCGTTTAACTTTGAAATTTTAAGAATATTTGTTTGCGAAACCAATTGGGTCCTAAGTTCCCATTTCGTTGACCTAGCCATCTTCCCCAGGTCCTGCCTTTTACTTAAAAGTAACTGATAATAGATGCCATTTATCAACTACTTACTATATGCATCAGCACCCTGGTAAGGTATTTACTATGTCATTTATCCCAAATAACCACACGAGGTAAGTGCCCTTATTTCCCCAGTTTTGCAGATAAAGAAGTGCATGCCCAGGGCCAGTGAAGAGCTTGCCTGAGGTCACCCAGCTGGAATTGCAGGGGTTAGGCATTGGAGCCAGTGTTCTTGGCCACTTGTCCTTCTTGCTCATGATTCCCAGGTTGGAAGAGCTAAGGGGCTTGGCCAGGGGTGGCAGCAGCTTAGGGCGAGGACCTAAGCATCAGAAGGCAGCGTGGACGCAGGGCCCCCAGGCAGAGATCTGAGTTAGGGCAGCTCCTTACTCCTCCTCGTGCTGGGCTTGTGGTTTCCAGGGGCACCAGGGAACTTCCTGGAGTCTGTCTTCCCTACGCTCCATTCTCCATGGCTCCAGACACCACCAGAGGTCACCTAAACTCTTGTGCTTCTGTTTGCTTTGCAGGCTGATAAGAAGGACCCCCAAGGCAATGGCACCGTGGCTGGGTTTGAGCTACTGCTTCAGAAACAATTGAAGGGCAAACAAATGCAGAAGGAAATGTCAGAATTCATCCGGGAAAGGTGAAGCCTGGGCCCCTCCGGTTCTGGGGTGTCTTGTGACAGCGCCCACCTTGGCCCCATGGCCTGAGAGGAGTCCGCAGCAGAACCTAGCTCTGCATGCTCAGCTCTGGGCTGGTTGGTGCTAAGGGAAGTGTAGGACTGGGGCCACCAACGCATGCCTTCTGAAACAGATCTGGCCAGCAGATGTGAAGCTTTGGCCTGTACAGTGTTTTGAACCAACCTTTTTTAAAAATTGGTAGATTTCACATTAGAATCTGGAGACTCAGCAGGCCTTGAGAAAGCAGAAGTTTGGCAGGATTGCTTCCACATCTTGCACGCAGCAGTCAGCTGGAGCTGAGTAACAGCTACTCCTGTTCCCATTTTGCCACAGTCTCCACCACTCCCTATTGTTTCCCCACACACACTGTTTCACTCCTTTACTTTATCTACCTAGCCCCCATTTGAAGCACTGTCCTCTACTGTAACTAGAAAGGAGAATGCAACCTTTCAATCCATCTTCAGTCAAAACTACATCCCAGAGCAGGAGATGTAGAACCCTCCTCGCTCTTCCCGCCTCCATCCCTGCTGTCAGGGATTCTAACAGTGGTTTGTCTAAAGAGCTGGGGGACATAGATGAGGAAACAATACATGCAGCCTGATGGAAACAGGGAAAACCAGAAGGAGAAGGAGAAGTTCCTTCTCCATTTCCCTCCTCCTCTCTGTCTCTCCAAGTTCTGAGACTGTTCAGCACAGACTCACGTGCCCGAGCACCAGCACACCCGTGCACGAGTGCACACACATACACGCACGCACATGCACACACATACATGCACACACATACACGCACACACATGCACCCACACACATGCACACACATGCATGCACGCACACACATGCACATGCACACACATACACGCACGCACATGCACAGACATACACGCACATGCACACACATGCACGCACACACGTGCACACACATACACGCACGCACATACACGCACTCACATACACGCACACACATACACACGCACACACATACACGCACACGCACACACATGCACGCACGCACACATACACGCACGCACATGCACACACATACACGCACACACATGCACATACATGCACGCACATACACGCACTCACATACACGCACACACATACACACATACACGCACGCACACGCACACACATGCACGCACATGCACACACATGCACGCACATGCACACACATACACACACATGCACGCACACACATGCATGCACACACATGCACGCACACACATGCACGCACACAGCTTTTTACCTAGAGTTTCATCTGGAGGCACACTGGCAATATTTATAACAAATAGCAATATCTTTAAAAAATATTTCTTTTTTAATTATAACAATAATCAAGTAATAATGCTTTGGTGTTTTAAAGCACCCCTTTCCCTCAGGGGACCTATTTTCAATTTGTATAATCAAATCCTTATTTTATGACCCATTAAACTGGTAGGAAATTGAGAGGTTGCATAGCTCGGGTGCAAGAAAACAATAGTGTCAAACAGGCAAATAGGGAAATGGCTGTAGCAGCCAAAGCTTGAACATACTTATGGTTTAGACTCCATAACATGTCATTAGCAAATGAATGGAACCTGCCCTTTCAGGACACGCTGGTCTCCCTAGAGAAAATGTAGACGCCTGTAACTTCTCTCATTGCACCTTGGGATCTCACAGGGAGGTCCTTTCAGAGCCAGGAGGGCGCACAGATGGGGGCGGGCCTGGCTCAGGGACAGACGCTGGCTGGTTTGCAGTGGCCTTGGCTTTGGGAGGTGGGGCAGGGGGGCAGGTGCTGCCGCCACTGGTTTGGAAGGTGAGGCCCGGGAGGCAGAGGCGTGTGCACCTCCTATGCCTGGCACGTGAGCTGGCATTGAGGGACCAGGAGCACGACATGGTCAGACCTGCTTTCTAGTGCGATCTCCTGGCTGTAGACTAGAGGAGTAGGCTGCCAGCCCACGTGTCCCAGGGAGGGCTCCAGGGAGGGCTGCAGGCGCAGGCAGAGGGAAGGGAGGGGAAGCAACAGAGGCACATCAGTTGGATTAGACACGGGGGACATAGGGACCGGCCAGAGGTGGGTGAGGGCAAAGCAGTGCGAGGAGGAACGAGAGATTGGGAGTCTTGGTGCCACGCTGTGCAGTGATCATTACTTTTATTATGACTTTGTCGGTCACCCCCTCTCCATCATCCCATCCTTGGGGCACCAGCTATCTGAGCGGCCGGGAAGCAAATGCTGCAGGCCTGAGGTCTCGGGGGCTTTTCAGTTCACCAGCTGATGTACCAGGGGCTCTCAGACACCCCAGCCAGAGCCGGCGCTGGTTGACACAAGCACACCTTCCGTCTCCCACCACGGCCCAGAGGACCACTTAGGCAGTGGGCAGTGTGCCTTTGACGACACGCTTAACAGGTGTACTGGATGATGCAGAACTCTCCCCAGGGAGTTGCCTTGCAACGTGTCAAGGGCCTGCCTGCTGGAAGCTACATCCAAGGCAACTCTCCTCTCCAGGGAAACAGAATCAAGCTGCAGCTCCGGGCACTGCCTGGTTTCCATGGAAATACTTGTGCCCAGCAGGCTTGGCAATTAGAGGCATGAAGGTGGGAGACGGTAGGGAGATGCTCTGTGTCTGCTTCCGAGGGGCTGCGGCCATCTGGGAGCTCCGGTGCGGGGAGGGGGAGGGGACAGCAGTGGGCGTCCCTGGTGGTCCATCACGAGTTGCGTTTGCTCAGTTAAGGGCCCCGTGTTTCCAGCCCTGTGCCAGGAGCTGTGCAAACATTAGCTCTCGTCTTCACAGCCCTAGCAGACAAGTGGAAACATCTCATTTTGCAGATGAGGGGATGGAGATTCAGACCATTTTGTTCATGCATTTATTCAACAAATATTTATTAAGCACCTACTGTGTGCCGGGCAGACAGATGAGCCATGCCCTCTCAGAGCGTCTGATGGGTCCCTTTACCTGGCTGACACGTGCAGGGCAGTGGGGCAGACCCACAAGGGGGCAGAGAGCTGACGTGTTGGGTTTTCTCCCTTTGCAGGATAAAGATTGAAGAAGACTACGCCAAGAACTTAGCTAAGCTCTCTCAGAACTCCCTGGCCGCACAGGAGGAAGGGTGAGTTGCGAGGAGGGATGGGAGTGGAGAGCCCGTGAGGACGCTGAATGGGGGAGCCCTTTCTACCCACCGCTGATCGCTGGACGGGGCCACTCTGGGCGGGCCATCTCTGCGTGCCTGGCTGAAGGTGGGCACCGTGACACGAGGTGTGGGCGTCCGTGCCCAAGGACACTTCCACGCTGTCTTCTCTCTAGTGACCAAGGGCCTCCTGCCAGGTGTCGGGGAAGGTCAGAACGCCCTCCAGCCTGTCCCCTGGTGGCCAGGCAGCAGCCTCGGTGCCCACCCCAGCTCCCCTTTCTCTGAGTGAGGGCAGGCCTCAAGGAAACTGAGCCTGAGGGGATTTTGTATCGGGCCCCTTTGTCTAGATCCTTCTCCTGTGGGCTGAGGCCCAGGCTCCCCTCCCCACTCCAGCTGTGACCGTCCCGACCTCAGCGGATGGCACCCAGGCTGAGGAAGGCTCCGCCCGACCCCTGTCCACTGAAGGATTCCTAGTGGGTGGCACAGTCTCTGCCTTGTGTGCCCTCGGCAGGAAGGTGAAACGGGGCAGCCCGTGGAGGACAGTCTGGCAGTTCCCCGAAAAGCTAAACAGAGAATCACCATATCACCCAGCAATTTCATTCCTAGGTTTATACCCCAAATAATTGAAGAGAGAGACTCAAACAAATTCACATACACACATATACAGAGCAGCGCTATTCACAATGGCCAAAGGTGGAAAAATAAAAAATGTCCTCACGGGACGGATGGATGCACAGCGTGTGGCATATGCACAGTGGATATCCAGTGACTGTCGCTCAGCCCTAAGGAGGGACAGCATACTGACACGTGCCACTACGTGGATGAACCTCACAAACATTCTGCCGAGGAAAAGAAGACAAACACAAAGGGCCATGTAGTGTATGGTCCCGTTTATGTGAAATGTCCAGGACAGGCAAATCCACAGAGACAGAAAGCAGATTGCTGGTCGCCAGGGGCTGGGGGACTAGGGTGTCACTGCTTACCAGGTGCCGGGTTTCCTTTTGGGGTGGGCAGTCTTCTCAGGCTGCACCACAGACTGCGTGGCTTAAACAACAGAAAATGTATTTTCTCATAGTTCTGGAGGCCGAAAGCCCCCGTGTCCGGTGAGGAACTCCCACGGGGTTGCAGACAGCCTCCTTCTCGCTGTGTGCCCACGGGGCCTTCCTTGGTGTGTGCTCAGAGGGAGAGGAGTGCGCTGATGTTTATTCTCATAAGGACACTGATGCTATCAGATCAGAACCTCACCTTTATGACCCATTTAACCTCAATTACTTCCTTAAAGGCCCCTTCCCCAAATACAGCCACACTGGGCGTTGGGGCTGCAGCATATGAATTTCGGCAGGACACAAACCATGAGTCCATAACAGGGAGATGAAAATGTTTTGGAACCAGATAAAGGTGGTGGCTGCACAACACTGTGGATGTACTACATGCATGCATTTCAAAGGATCGCTCGCTTTTAAATGGTTGGTTTTTCATTACATGAATCTGATCTCAATGTTAAAACGATGAAGACTCTCTGGAGGTCAGAGTCGAAAGGGTCCCCAGGAGTCCTCTCGCTCTGCCAGCCTCCCTCGGGCACGAGTCTCTGTTTGAATTCTGAAGCCCCGAGGAAGGAGGACACTCTGTCGGAGGATGGCTGTGGCTGTCATAGAGCTGTGACAGGAAACAAGTCCAAATCTGCCTTCATGGCTTGAAATCCTTCAGGGGACAGAGACTTTGCCAGCCAAATGTGGCTTTGATTAAGCCCTCCACATGGGCTGACCGTGCAGCCAAACAGCCGCCTTTGAAGGGTTTTCGCCCATCCCGCCAGCCAGAGACTGAGGGCGGCCTGGTCCCTCCGTGGACGTGAAGTCGGTTAGCTGGTCCCTTGCCCCTTCTGCTCTGTGTGCTGGGCGCGAGGTGGGGGCAGGAAGGGAGCATCTAGGGAGTGTCCCTTGCTGCTGGGAAGGGGTTTCCTAAGCGTCCTCGTGCTCTGCAACCGCTCGGAGTCTTCAGGCTTCCACCTCCTTGGCCTGGGCGGCTGCCAAGGACTCTGTGTCCTGCCAACACGCACAGCATATGCTCCCAACCCGGGCAGTCCGGCTCCACGAGTCAGGCCCGCACCACCACGCCGTGCACACATATGTACAAACACGGGGATAAACACCACACAAGCTCACGTGCACACATGAGCGCCGCTCACCGAGACGTGCGCACACACGCCGTTGCCCTTGCACGCAGCAACCACACGCGGACAGTCCAACCAGCAGGCACCGGGGCGTGAACACGTGGGCACCCCCCACACACACACACACACACGCGGTATGTGCAGCAGCGCTATTTTGCATTGACTCACAGCTTTGGATGTTTAACCGGGTCCGCTTTGAAAAGCCCCAAAGCACAAAGCTGGAGCCTAGAAATTTCGGGCAGTCTAAGAACACGCCGATAAGGGAGACTTGAGCTGCTTTTTTAGCCGCTCAAATGCTGCGTCCAGATTAGACTTCATGAGGTGTGTGCACATTGGCGAATGAAACAGAATTAGCTTACTTATTCTGCCTTCAGTTTTTCTCTCCCATGCGGGAAGGAAATGGGGTTTCGGTCTTTCCTGGTTGGCAGTTGTGACAATAGCATGCATTTTGATTTGGGGTGCCTCAAAATCTACCTTGGAACAGAAGTCTATCTCAAGGTTTTGTGGGGTTTTGTAATTAACCCCTTATCGGTTGGAAAAAAAATTCTCTTCCAAGAAGAGAATTTCTGAATGGCTTTATGATAAATTGTGAAGTGGCCGAGAGGGGCCTGGAGGGTTGGGGCGGGCGGAGGTGTGCGTGGGGATGTCGGCTTGGAGGGCCCCGCTGAGTGTTTGGAGTGCTGTCCTCCCACCTGTCCTCCCAGCCGGGAAGTGGGGCCGAGGACGTTGTCTCGGGTGGAAAACCATGCCTCTTCCTTTCCTCCCTATAGCCTGAGGTGACATTCTCAGGCCACCCGGCTGTCCCTGAGCCAGTTACGCAGCACCTGCTCTGCTGATAGCGGGATTCCAGCTCTGCAGAAGCACGCGTGTGATCACACAAACTCTCGGCACCACCCGGGGCCTTTTGGCCTCTGTGGCTCTTGTTTGAAGCTCCCGAGAGTTGCTGAGTGTCGCTCAGCTGCGGGGGCAGAACTCGATCGTCTCCTTTTGTTGAAGTTCCTGCTGCTCGCAGGGCGGCTTCCGTAAGCTTTGTGTAGCGTTGGCTTCCACTTTAGAGCCAGGTTCCATCTTGAGATGGTTTGTGTTTATGGCACAGGAAAGGGTCAGGATTCCTGCCCGCCCCCGCAACATGGATATACAGTCGTCGCTGCACCATTTGTTAAAAGGACCATCGGTTCCTCCCATTGAAATACCTTGGCACCTTCGCTGCAGGTCAGTGGGCCTTGTCCTTGTGACTGGTCTATGTAACGGCCACAGTCGCTCCTGCCACACTGCCACCCCTGGGCCCCCCTGCCTACCCACCTATTGAGTCAGGTGGGGGCCTTGGCCACCCCGAGGGTGTTGGGTGTCCCAGCTCGGCTTCCTGGAGCTCAGGTCCTCCAGGTGAAGACAAGTGTCAACAGGTTGGATTGCCCGTCTCACTCTAGCTCCTCTCCGGCGGGCTCCCCAGGCAGGATCCCCCGAGGGGACCTTTCTTTGCCACCAGAGCCCTAGATGAAATCAGTCACTTCCCGCAAACACCCGCCTCGGCCTGAGCCGGCACCGCCACCAGACAGCCTGGATTGTGATCAGAGCAATCCGTCCTGTTCCGCTGGGTGATTCTTAGCCACTGGCTGCTCTGTGCGAAACCGGAAGCCTGGCAGCACGCTGTCTTTTAATCAGCCTTTGCCACTCGAGTTTAATGAATCCTCGGGGGGAAGTGGCTTTTTGCTGACATTAAGTGCACTGCACGTGCAGCCTGAATTTGCCGGCTGGGCCGAAGAGGAGATGAGCAGGAAAGCAGGGGTGCCACTGGAGGGTGAGGGAGGTTGAGGAGTTCCAAGTGGAGAGTGCAGCTCGGGACCTGCCCTGCACAGTGAGGGAAGCACCGCCCGGGAGTGGAGAAGTGATCTCGCTGAGAGCACTGGGCCAGTCTCTAGTAAGCCGCAGGCAGCGTGAGGGCTCAGAGCTGGGGAATCAGGACTCGGGGTACACACTCCTGAGGCTGGTGACAGCAGCCTTCTCTGCTGTGTGGCTGTACCTAGGAGGTCGCTAGACCCACATGGTCCAGCTGCGCCTCTCGTGGAACTCAAGCAGCTGGGGTTTTGCCCGTGAGCAGGGCTGTGTGGCGCCTTCTGTTTGAAAAGGGCTTCTCTCCCTGGAAGGAATCGGTTTTCCTTCCTTGATTTACTGACAGACATTTGCACCTGTCTTCAGCAAACCAGGGTGACTCTAAAGCTTGAGGACAGTGATCTGCCAGGTGTCAAGGTCCTCACAGCAGCTGAGGCTTTAGAACTGCACCCCACCTGCTTCCTGCACTTCCCCTGGTCCCTGTGAGCCTCTGGGTTCCTGGAAATTTCCCCCGCCACTCGGCTGCCTGCTACAGTCTGGTCTCTTAGCTCCAGGGGTAATGGCGGCTCACCTTGGCTTTGGTGGCTCATCTGGCCCTGTGGGTTAAAGCGTGATGCTTGTGTTTTATTTTGCGCCTGGCCTCCACCTCATCCAAGTCCAAAGTCCTGGGTGTTATAGACGTCCCCAAGACGCGGGGTTGAGTCCCACCGCCCCGCCTCGGGAAGGGCTGTGGCTTCTGACCAGCGGTGGGCGCAGCTCTCTCTGGGGACCCCGAGTCTCACTGTCTCCTTCTTGTTGCAGCTCCCTGGGAGAGGCGTGGGCCCAGGTGAAGAAGAGCCTTGCAGACGAGGCGGAAGTGCACCTCAAGTTCTCTGCCAAGGTAACGTGACCCTGCGTCCTCCCTGGCTTGGCCCCACACAGTGGTGTGCTGAGAAATGGTTAACAGCCGACTCTCTGGTTGGTAGCATTTGCCACTTTCCCTGGTGTAAATTTCAAGCCGCCAACACGATGTCACTTAATATAGCGTTGCAAAGAGATGCACAGCAACACATCATGAGAAAGTGCTCTCATCGTGACAGATACAGCAGCGTAGATAACAGTCAGTGTCTGCCCAGAGCCTGGATGGTAGTAAAATGTAGTTAGGAAAGTACTGAGTATTACCTTTATTTTTAATATAATGTATTTAATTTTAAGTTTATATAATTTAGTTAGGACTTTTTTGTTTTGTTTTAAGAGACAGGGTCTTCTGTCATCCAGGCTGGAGTGCAGTGGTGTGATCATAGCTCACCGAACTCCTGGGCTCAAGCGATCCTCCTGCTTCAGCCTCCCAAGCGGCTGGGACTACAGGCGCTCACCACTGCACCCAGCCTAATTTAGTTTTTAATAATGGCTGCAAACCATTATTTAACCACCAGTGCAAAAATAATGCCTAAAAATTTAACAGTTACCTCCTGGGAGCCCTTGGGAGCTGGCCCCAGCACACCTCCATGTAGCAGGAGTAGACGCCCCCAGTTTCTCAGGTGAACCCCTGAGTGATGGAAACCTGCCCTCTCTTTGCCTGGCTTTGAAAGCAACAGATTGGCACGCTCTGTCTCTTCTCAGTGTTGGGAAATGTTAGACCATGCCAGAGAGAAAGTGTTTTGGTTTTGTTTTATTTGTTGTTGTGAAATTTCAGAACAATGAGTAAGTGACCCCTCTGTCACTTCTAAAGCACTAGCACCAGGACCTGCTTGAGGACAGGGCTGTTCACTCTGCCCTCAGGACGGTGCCTGACACACAGTAGATGCTTAATAAATACTTTCTGACCTAGCGAATGAGGGGAGCCCTGTGACTATCTCCTCCCCACCCCCAGTCTTTTCAGGTCTACTTTCGCTCAGGATTTCTCCATGTTTCCAGATGAACCCCTCCTCCCCACCCCCTCATTCATATCTCCAAGTTTCCTCTCCAACTCTCAGCTACTTTTTAGGTGAAAAATATACTAAGTGTTTCTGTGAAATAATTTACACTAAAGTGTGCATGACTAGCAGGGCTACCATTAGCATGCTTGCCCATTAAAAGAAGGGAGACCTTTGACAATGGCCCCATCCCTGTGACCCTGGCCTCTCCTCTCCTCCCTCTGCCTTCCCACCATGACCAGCCATCCCCAGCAGGAAAAGTGCTTCAGCTGTCTTGTTATTATTTGTGGGGTAGCATTCCCCAAAGCTGGTGGCTCCTTCCTGGGGCTTGTGCATCCGCACTCGCTGGTCCTGTGTCTTTTCCACTGCTGCTCCCACCCTCATTGCGGTTTCCTGCTTTGGGGTCCTGCATGACGTTCACTCTTGGAGGACAGCAGTGACATTGCACCCACGTCTCCTTACCGAGCCCACGGCGCTCTGCACACAGCCAGGCAGAACGAGTGACTCCAGTGGCCGAGGCCCGAGAGGCCTTATGAGGAGCTGGGTGGCAGGAGGGGGCAGTGCTCTTACCACCCGCCATGTCTCAAGGCTGTCATGCCCCAAGACTGGGTCGACACCAGGTGTGGGTGATGATCCCCGGCTAACGAAGGCACACTAACCTCATTCCAGCAAGCGCTTCACAAGAAAATTGCCACTTCAAGCCCTGGCAGGGAAGGGAACTCCATGAATTGGTCTCTTTCCTGTGCTGCAGACAAAGCAGCAAGTTATTTTAGAGCACGAGCAGCATCACCCCCACCCCTAGGTTCCCCTCCTCCTGCCCCCTACTGCCCTGTTCGCCGCCTCGGCAGACGGCGCCGGTGACTGGCGAGATGCGTGGGCAGGCGCCGCTGTTACGGGGTGGGGCCTGAGCCGGGTCTGCGAGCTTCTGAACGGTCGGTCGCCTGCTGCATCCCTGGTAATCCCGGTGGCATTTACTCCCATCAGCAGGACCCCTGATTCTCGGTTGTTTGTGGACTCAACAGGTGGCAGCACACCGTGTGACACAGGCGGTGACTTAAGTCTCCGGATGGTTCTGTGGGAGGCACAGCTCGCCTCTCAGCCTGTCAGCTGCCCTGCCAGGTGGAATGTCCATTTCGCAGTGAGAAGGGGCAGAGAGGTGAAGTCACAGGCGTGGTCACCCAGACATTGGCCCCCAGATATTCTCTTCCGACAGCACCCTCTCTCTCCGGCAGAACAGTGGCATCTAAAACACAGAGCCCCGCTCTTGGGGAGCACTCTGCCCTCTGCCCTCCCAGGGGATGCCAGCGGTGGTGCAGGCTGGTCCTGACCCACCAGGTGCTCAGAGCATGTTAAGCCAGTGTGCATGGCATGGGGTGGACTTCGCCACGCAGCTGGAGGGAGGCTTGTCCCTCAGCTGGAGTGGTCGTGCAGAACAGCCCCGTGCTTCCAGCCTGCCGGTCAGTGCTGATGGTCGCAGGCGATCATTGCTGCAGCCCAGCAGTTTTATGGAAATTCTTTCAGAGGAAGGGGCTCCCGGGATCTGCCTGCCACGAATGATATGGCTCCATAAGCTCAAAGCCCATTTCAATGTCTGCTCCAAAAGGCTCATTGAAATTCTGCTCCGAATGTTCTCTGTCTGCGGTAAAAGCTCCTTAAGAAATGCAATTTCGTTACAGCAATTTTTCTGGCTCTTTTAGTCTCCCAGCTCCAGCCATTGCTAATAGCAACAGGTTGCTAAAGAAACAAGATTGCTGCATACAAAAGAAGTTGTACCTGGCTCCAGCTGAAGAAGGGAGACTAGCAAAATTCCTTCTGTTGGGAGAAAATCTAATCGTGCAGTGGGGGGTGGGGGCTGTGCATTCAGTCAGGAGATTGCGGGGGGGAGAGGGAGTAGGGGACATGAGTTTTATCACTGACGAACTCTGTGACCTTGGGCAAGTCAGTCACTTAGCGCCCTGGGGTTCCACTTCCTCCTCTGTGAAGGGAAGAGTGCAGACTAGATCGGTGACTTTAAACTTATTTGAAGGTGACCTGCAGAGATACATTTGATGTGAGCACTCAGAACACACCTACATGTATCCACTCCATGTCCTCGTAAAGACATGCAGCCACATACGTAGCCAAAACCAGTGTTTCATGAAACTGTATTTACCCTCCTACCTAAAACACACTCTGATATTTTCTGTTCACATCTGATCTGTTCTCACCAAAAAGTTGGTCCTGACCCATTATTAAATTGATTTCACAACTCTTGGCCACCCACTATTTAAAAAAACACTGGACTAGACACTCTGATATTCCTTCCAACTTGGAATTTCTCTGATTCTCTGCCGATGTGTGAGATGAAAACAAAAGCAGGCAGGGAGTTTGGAAAGGCAGCCCGAGTGGCACCAGTGGCCTGGCCATCCGGGACAGGACAGGCCACCCCAGAGTCCTCCAGGACACACTTTCAGGGGGGGCTTCTGACTCCCAATTAAACAGATGCTTTAAAGTTAAGAATGATTATTAAAACTTTTTTTTTTTTAAGAAAATAATTATCTTGGCCGGGCGCGGTGGCTCATGCCTGTAATCCTAGCACTCTGAGAGGCCGAGGCGGGCGGATTACTCGAGGTCAGGAGTTCGAAACCAGCCTGAGCAAGAGTGAGACCCATCTTACTATAATAGAAAGAAAGTAATTGGCTAACTAAGATATATATAGAAAAATGAGCCGGGCGTGGTGGCGCATGCCTGTAGTCCCAGCTACTCGGGAGGCTGAGGCAGAAGGATTGCTTGAGCCAGGAGTTGAGGTTGCTGTGAGCTAGGCTGATGCCAGGGCACTCACTCTAGCCTGGACAACAAAGCGAGACTGTGGCTCAAAAAAAAAAAAAAAAGAAAGAAAATAATTATCTCTTTAAAAAGTGCTGAATTATCTGCAGATCCAAGTGTCTTCATCTTTGGCCTTGGGTCACTTCTGACAGCTGGCAGCATTGTTTGTGTCTGCAGAATGTCATGTGAATTTGGGGAAAGCCTTTGGGTTTAGGGGCAGGTTCGTGGCCCCTTCCCCAGACCACAGAGCCTGAAGCCGGGGCCCAGGAAACCCTAATGTTGGATAACTCCTCCAGCTTCCTCCTGGACACGTTGAAGTCTGACAGTCACTTGCCTTCCAGTCCTTAGAAAGAGACCCCAGGGTCCTGTACTGAGCAGGCTGAGTTAGCCCTCAGAGACTCCGACCAGCAGCCGCTTCCACTGGGCAGCGGATGCCTAACCTGCGAACATGGGCAAGGGTTTGTTTACTCTCGTGACCGCTTGAGTTTTCTGCAGCGTCTTACAAACTGCCGCCAGATGGGGATGTTTTCCTGCGCAAGGAAAGCGCTCCAGGGGCTCAGAAACATAGTAAGACACATTTACAACTAATATCAGGAGAGAAAGGGGTGTTTGGACGGCCAGTTCTCTGTTAGTCATCCAAAAACAGAGCTGTCCTCTTGTCACCCAGGGGATTGGACGCCGAAGAGTGTGTCATTTTCTCTAATAGAGAAGGGGCACCCGCCCTGCACCAGCTCTGGGCAGACACTAGACAGCGTGGTCAGGCCAGATCCGGCCCCTGCCCGCCTGGAGCTCACAGTCCCGTGTGTGTCCATTGCTTAGCATGGGGACACTTACAGCCCAGGGTCTGCAGGGAAGAGGGCAATGTCGCAAGAACCTGGTGAGAGGAGAGAAGTCACAGGATCCTGTGTCGTCTGTCCAGGGAAGTTGAGCTGTGTGCCCAGGGGCCCCTCTGGGACAGGCGGAGGCTGAGTTGGGGGGGGGGGGAAACAGGCTGAAGGTGAGGTGGCCCGAGGCTGCGTCAGGGGGACACAGGTGCTAGACTGCCCACCTGGCTTTGTCCAGAGCAGGTCCCACGTTAATCTGTTTTCTTATAAAAGAAATCTCATGCTCACAACAACAAAAAAGTTTTTTTTAAAAGTAGAGGTGGGGTGAGAAAGAGGAAAGGAATAAAAGACAAGAAAAAAGCTTAAAAACCCGATGTCACCCAGCTCCTCTCAACGTATAACTCTCTTTCTCTGGCCCTGGCACAGGGGTGGCTGGGGGTGGGCCTGTGTCCCCCTCCAGCCCTGGGAGCTGAGAGCCTCCCATGGGTGCCGCTCAGAAGCGGTGTCCTTGTGAGTTTCCCACAAGCCGTGCAGAGTGTCCACTGTGACTTCCTCGCGGTCTGGACCTTGTCCAGATCACCCTGCGTTCCGCACACCTGGCACACGGTGACTAGAATGGACGTGAGATCCCTTCCTAGAATGGCATCCGGTTGACAGTTACTTGTAGAGCGGCATCCAGCAGTCACTGTGCTAAGTGCTTGGGGACACAGATGGGGGACAAGGTTTCTAGCCCTAGAAAGCTCCCGGTTCGGAAAGTGAAGGGAGAGACACACAAGCAAAGCCCTGCAAGGATGTGAGGTCGCAGATAAACGAATCAGCCCGGTTTAGCCAGTCCGCCGTGTGTGCCTGTCACAGCAGGCTACACACCATAGATTATAGACAGTACGAATCGTTTTAAATAAAAGTAACAAGAAGCAGTAGCCGTGGAGGCCGGAGGCGGAAGGAGTCAGCTGACGGGGGGATCAGAAGCTCCCGCGCCGGCCCCCCCCAGACCCGTCCTCACGCGGGGGAGTGGGCGCCCCACCCCGCACGGGCCGCGGGGCCGGGTCCTGAGTGTGCCGCCCTCCTGTCCCGACAGCTGCACAGCGAGGTGGAGAAGCCCCTGATGAACTTCCGAGAGAACTTCAAGAAAGACATGAAGAAGTGCGACCACCACATCGCTGACCTCCGCAAGCAGCTGGCCAGCCGCTACGCCTCGGTGGAGAAGGTGGGCCTGGGCGGGCACGGGGTGGGGGCGGGCAGGAGAGCGGGCCTTGGTCCCCACCGGGTGATGCGGGGAGGCCGAGCCTCAGGCCCTCGCCTGAGCTGCAGGTGGCAGCCGCTTCCCGAGGTGTCGGGTGGCCACCCAGAGGGCAGTGGAGCCAGGCGGGGCCGTGGCCGCCATGGGGGCAGCGTGGCACAGAAGACTAGGCACACGCGTGTTCTTGCGGACACCGAGCCTGGGTGTGCTGCTGGTGCTCACGTGGCCCCCGTGTTGGGGCCTCACCTGGTAGATTGTCTCCCAACGACATCACCCCACGCCCGGACGCCCAGGGTCCCCCTTCCTGCTCAGACCCTGGGCAGACCCACGGTGGTCGCCGCGAGGCGGCTGCTGATGGCCAGCCCTAGAGGGACGGGGGCCGGTGCCGCGGCTGGCTCCCTCCGAAGGGTGGAGCTGCGGGAGGTGGCCGGGAGGAAAGGCAGGCACGGGAGGGGTGGGGCCCAGAGTCGCCGCCTGCTCTGGAGCAGGGCAGCTTGTGCTGCCAGCCTGTTAGGTAAGCACTGCGGGGAGGTGACACAGGCGACCTCCGTGGTCACTTCCAACCCCGAGGGGCTGAGGTTTTAGGGCTGCCCGGGTCCCCAGACCGTGTACGAGCTCCAGCGCAAACGTGGTCTGAGAGAGACTTAGGCCTGGTCCAGATGTCGCTGAAGAGACAGAAGGCTTGCAGCCCTGCACTGCCACTCGCTAGCTGGGCGGCTCCACTCTGGAGCCTGGCCCCTCCGAGCCGCCGGGGCGTGATCCACACCAACAGGGCAGATAAAGGACTCGTGGAGAAAAGGGAGGCCCCTGAGCTCTGAGCTTTAGGAACAGCGTCTCCCTGTCCTGTCGTTGGACCCCAGGCCCGGAAGGCCCTCACGGAGCGGCAGAGGGACCTGGAGATGAAGACCCAGCAGCTGGAGATCAAGCTGAGCAACAAGACGGAGGAGGACATCAAGAAGGCGCGGAGGAAGTCCACGCAGGCTGGTGAGTGCGGCGTCTCCCCTCTGCAAGAGTGCAGACCCCCTCTCTCCTGTCCACCCGGCATCTCAAGCGCATAACCCTGGGGGTGCAGTGGGCGGGACTGGGCCAGGACTCCTCATTCTCTCCCCAGCGATGGCTTTTTTGCGTTTTGCCCAAAGCCAGGGTCTCTGACCGGGAGGTGGACAAACTCCTGCTCGGAGCCCGCAGAAGTGCACACCCCACCCCAGCTGCCCCCGATCTCCTGCCCCAGGACAGAGGCCCACATTTAATTTAAAGAACCAGATTTCAGATTCTCTCTGAGAGATTCCCCCAGTGAGGTGGTTTCTGCTTCCACCTAGTGGTAGGAATTAGCCAATGCACAAGGAGAGGACCAGAGAGAACCAGTGAAAGGCTGGGTGGCTCTTTCTCGAACAAGCCAAGTTTTCCCACGTGCTAGGACATGTGTCTAACACACGTGTATTGCCCCTGGAATAATAAATCACTGGATCCGTAAGTCGAAAACATAATATAGGCATTACCTAGAGAAGGAAGAGGCATATTTAAATTCGTTGAATTTATTACCTCATTTAAAAATAAATTATGCTGTAGAAATAATATCGGTACATGGAAAAATATTTTAATTTTAATGTTAAAATTATATTATTTTATTATAATTATTAATTATATTAAATAACATAATCATAATATAATTATAACGTAACTATAACAATAATTATAACATTAATGATTATGATATTAAAATTAGAATTAATATAATATTAAACTTATAATATCATTTAATATTATAATTTTAATTGGCACACAAAAATACAAAATGTTATTCACCAGAAATAATCACCATCACTTCCGAGTGTTTTACTTTTTAAGTAATATTTATATTTACATTTATATAAAGTAGATCATATACTCTATCTTCTGAACTTACTTTTTAATTAATATATCTTGGAAGTAGCTTTTATTTCATTAGCTATAAATCTCTTTACCCAACCATTCATGCACATCAAACTTTTTAATGATTGACCGGTGTCCAGCGTGTGATTGTACTGAAATTTATTTCATCATTCTCTTAATTGATTTTTAGGACTTTTAGATTGTTTCAGAGTGTTGGCCAGTGCCAGTGATGCTGTGTTAGCAGACCTCTACCTTCATGTGTGTGTAAGACCAGATCTGCACGTTGAGGGAACGTAGATGCTGGATTGGAGTTTTATTCATTTTGATGGGTATTTCCAAATTGCTTTCCAGAGACAGTGCCCACCAATAGTATCTATGAATGCCTGTTCCCTAAATGCTTATCAGCATTGCATGTTGTCAACGCTTGAAGTCACTGGTGTCTTGTCAAAAATAATATTTTGTTTTTAATTTGCATTTCTCCCTGAGCAGGGTTGAGCATTTCAAAAATATAAATCATTTTTTGCTTTTTTTCTGTGAACTGATTAGCTCATATCCTCTCTCCATTTTCTTATTGAGTGACTGACCATAGACTGTTTATATATTAGGGAGAGCAACCCGTTGGCTATTTTTCTGTTTGGTGATCTTTTTCCTTAAGGACTCTAGGTTTTGGGGCTGTCTTTAGAAAGATTCATCCCCACCCCTGCTTTTGTTTTTTTTTTTTTTTTGGAAACAGAGTCTTGCTCTGTCTCCCGGCCTAGAGTGCAGTGACATCATGATAGCTCACAGCAACCTCAAACTCCTGGGCTCACGTCATCTTCCTGCATCAACCTCCCAAGTAACTGGGACTACAGATGTATGCCACTGTGCCTGGCTAATTTTTCTATTTTTTGTAGAGACGGGGGTCTCACTCTTGCTCAGGCTGGTCTCAAACTCCTGAGCGCAAGCTATCCTTAACCTATCCCCTTTCTAAGATTTGTTGTTTTTTTTTTTTTTTTTAAAATAACCTGGGGTTTTTTTCTTACTGGTTTTGGTTTCAGGTGTTTATTTTTGTTTTTGTTTTTAAAATAATGAAATATTTAACCCACCAGACATTTATTTTTCCTTATACTGGTGCTCGAACCATACTTCACAGGTTCTTATTTGTAGTGTTTTCATTTCTGCTGTTTTCAAGATATTTTACTATTTGGGTTTGATTTCATCTTAGAGCCAAGAGTGGCTTCAAAGAAAACCTTTACATTTTTATGAGCAAGGGCTTTGTTACCATTGTTTTCTAATCTTGCTATATTTTTGTCATCTTATTGCATTGTTATCATATGATTTGGTGTGTTATGCCTCTAGTTTGGAATTTTTTTGTGACACAAGTAACTAGTCCTTAGATCTAACAGTAAAAAATGTCACCTTTTCTGGGTATTTCAGGTGTGCCAGGCACCAGGCTACATGCTTTAGAGCAGTTTCTGACTCAGCAGGTCTCGGGTACATCCTTGGTTTCTGCGCTTCTAGCCGGCCCAGGGACACAAGTACCGCTGGTCCATGGACAGTGTTTTGCATAGCAAGGGTCTAAGGTGCTGGTACACTTAGTAATGATTGCAATTACATCTCAGTCTGTTTTCCGTCTAATTGCAAAATGTGATGTAACGTACATATGATAACAGAAAATAATACACTAGACCTAAAGATTTAATAGTTAAGCTCGCCTCGGGTCTTTCTCTGATGGAATAAGATGCTGTAGAATGAGCTAACTCCCACCCTTTCTGCAAGGTCGCCACTCCCCTGAAGTTGGCGTGTCTCTCCGGGGCGTGTTTTAGACTGTGGCTGCACAAATGAACGAGCATAAACCATCAGACACATTGTTTTGTGTTTCAGAATGACGTCCTGCCGTGTGTGCACGTGTGCAAACACACGGACATGATTAGCAGATTTCCTCCCGTAATTCTTATTAGTACTAAATTGCTTGTGACACGTTTTAACCAGTCTGGACTCGCCAATGTAAAATAAAACTGCTGTCTTTAGAGAGGGAAGTGATTCTTGGATTCATGGTAGGATTGGGGGTCCTAGGAATACCCTCCCCCCAACACACACACAGTGAGAACCCCCATCCTGGATTCTTGGCATCCAGGGTCAAGTTCAGGTGGACACCCTGAAGCTGGCCCCTCATTTTGCAGGGTTGGCCCCTTCCTTCCTTTGCTCTGCTTTCTCTTTCTTCCTACCCGTCCCCCAAACTTCCCAGTGGCCTCCAGGACCCCAGGGAGAGAAGAGGGCATGGCCGGGGGCCACAGGTGGGGAGGACAGCCATGGTGAGGACAGGGTGGAGTGCGGTGGTGACTGTTGTCCTTTCCAGGAGACGACCTCATGCGCTGTGTGGACCTCTACAACCAGGCCCAGTCCAAGTGGTTTGAGGAGATGGTGACCACCACGCTGGTAAGTGGTCAGGGACGTGTGGCGGTGCAGGGCCTGGCTCATAGGACGCCCTGGGTGGTGGTGGGCCCTGGGGTGATGAAGTGGGGCGACCCTAGAGATCATTAGACCCACTCCAGTGGTGGGGTCCAGACCTCCATCTGGGCCAGTCCGAGTGTGCGCGAATCCCAGCTCTCCGCTTCCAAGCTGTGCCAACGCCGACAAGGGTTGGGTCTGGCTAGATCCTTTTGGGGCTATCCCCTGAGAGGTCAGTGTCAACCGAGGACTCCCCCCTACAACTGAGTGTTCAGTGGCCCCTTTAGGGCAAATAGCCGAGCTACAGGAAGCAGGATCACACACACACACACACATGCACACACACACACACACGAGTTGCAGGTCGTTGCCAGGCGTGTGAATGGGCGAGGTTGGGGGGTGCTGCACAGGGGGCGGGAGGCCTCTGACCGGGCTGTGGGGCACAGGCTGTGGGGCACAGGCGGCAGAGCCCGTGGTGTCTCCTGAGTGTTCCTGGAAAGGGGCTGCATCTCCGTGTCGGTCAGCACCTGCCTGAGTGGGACAGTGGCGTGTGGCCGTGCGTGGGCCGTTGGGCCGATGGGACGGGAGATGTCGTGCCGGCTGCCCTTTGGGTCATCCTGCGACCCGAAGCCACCCCTGCCCACCCAACTCAGGACTGACCAGCTGCCTGCCCAGGCTTCAGCCCACCAGAGCAGATTAGAAGCCTCCACCGGTGACGATGACCTAGTTTTCCTCCTGGTTAATCTCCTAATTAAGCCCCCTGCTTTACCCTGCTTCCCGGTTAATCACCTGGGCAGTGACCTAGTTGAGCACAGAGTAGCCTGATCCCCTAAATTCCAAAGACGGGGAACCATCTAGACTCCAAAGGACAAACTCCTCCACTCTTCCCTTTGACAGTGGCCACTCCATCCCCAGCCCTCTCTGCCTGCCCTCTGCTCCGTCCCTCGGAACCAGGGATGCGCAGAGAAGGGGGCCAGCCTAGCAGGGGCCCAAGGACAAAGCCCCACGAGCATGAGGAAGCCTTCACACACGTCCCCTTGCTCCACCAGTCAGGGTACAGGGCCCGGCCGCACTGGTGCAGAGTCACCAGTAAGAGCCCAGGAGACCCTGGTTTAAATCCTGCTCCTTCCGTAACTGCGTGTTGCTTTGGGCAATCAGCATTACCTCTCTAGGGTTAGTTCCCTTGCTTGTAGAATGGGGATAATAGCAGAACCTATCTTCAAATCGTGATGAGGACACGTCAGTAACACACGTAGGGCGCTTAGCACATGCCTGGCAGGGCGGCTTTTCAGGAAACAAAACAGTGGCTGCAGCTGTCATCGGCTTCACCTCACCCCAGACACAGGGCAAGTTCTTCATGGGCCCCCAGAGAGTTAGATGGGGCTGAGTATAGACACAGCCAGTGACTTGTGTTTTGGTGGGGGGGTCTGGGATCTGCCACTGGGAAGATCCCCAAGTCGAGGGGACGTGCACAGAGGTCTCTGGTCTTCCCTTCCTCGGCAGGAGCTGGAGCGGCTGGAGGTGGAGAGGGTGGAGATGATCCGGCAGCATCTGTGCCAGTACACACAGCTGCGGCACGAGACGGACATGTTCAACCAAAGCGTGAGTGTCCCACACGGCAAGGCCCTGGGTGACGCAGGCGGGGAGGGCCACTAGCACTGTGCCATGGCAGCTTACGTAGCCACTGCAAATGAAGGTGTCCTGAAGGTGGGCAGCAGGCAGGTGCTCCAGCCTGGGGCGACCTCTTGTCAGGAGTGCCCTGGGACATCTATGCAAATCCATGTTCCATTTCTTAAATAAAACAGAGCAACTTCTAGAAATGTTCGCAATACCTAAAGCTAAAGTTCCCTTTGTCCTGTCCCCTGGTGATAAATGTGGGGACACCTGGAGGAAGAGGTCATAGACCACAAGCCTTTAAGGCCCCCCCGCCCTCTCTCACAGCCCAACCCTCCAGAGAGGCTGCTCCGAGAGGCACTAAGGCCAGGGCAGCCTGGCTCAGTGGAGACAGCCCCGCCCGGCTGCCACCTCTGACAGCGTGCCTTCTTCTCTGTCCCTTGCAGACAGTCGAGCCTGTGGACCAACTGCTTCGAAAAGTGGACCCAGCCAAAGACAGGGAGCTGTGGGTCAGAGAGCACAAAACGGGCAACATCCGCCCTGTGGACATGGAGATCTAGACGGGCCCGCGCGGCCCTGGGGGTCCTGCCCGGAAGAGGGACCGGGGTCCCGAGGGGAGGAGGTGGCAGCCCCCGCTGTGGGGCCACTGCTGAGGGGAGCTGCCCCGCCCACTCTCCTGGGCCGCTGAGGAGGGGAGAGAGCTGGTGATTCCAGAAGGGTGACCTGGGCGGCCCGGCGGGGGGCTCCCCAACATTCCCAGGCCAGGAACACAGACCCACAGCCCTGCCCTGTCTCTGAGGCCGAAGCCCCCCACCCCTGTGCTGTGCTTGCCGCTCTGAGAACAGACTGTAGGGGTTGCCATCACATGCCTGCGTCCCTGGAAGCCCCGAGGCCCTTCCTCCAGCCAGCTCCCTGCTCTGCAGGGCTTTGGAGGAGGGGGAGGGAGGTGTCTGTCTCCACGCCAGGCGTCAGGATCGGAATCACAGGAGGAAGGCACCGGTCAGCTCTTGGTGCACCCAGAATCCTTTGCAGCCCTCCCTGCCTGCCCCATTGCATCCTGGGAGCCCACATCTGGCCTTTCTCGTCCACTTCTCATCACCAGGGGTCTTGGGTGACAGGCCTGGCTCCGTCTTCCCAGACCAGCCCTGCCCGGAGAGGTCAGGATGGAACTACCTCATTCGGCAAATTAGCCCAGAACTGGAGCGTTGAATCGCGTCTCCTGTCAGACCAGGCCGCCTCTGTGGAGTCTCTGGAAGTCCCAGCCCACCCCTCCCTCAGCTGCTTCCGCAGGAAGACCCTCCACCCCTCCCTGCAGCCCCTGCCCAGTCTCATCAGAGGCGGCTTTCCAAGTTCTCAGCTATCAAGGCTCAGCCCAGCTCGGCCCAAGGCCTCGAGAGTAGAAATGAACCAGCTCGTCTCAGAGGCCAGCCAGGCACAGGGCGCCATCTGGGGCTGCGCTGTTAGGTCGCCCGGCCCCACTCTCCCAGGCCACCCACCGCGGGCCCTTCAGGGGCTGGGTCAGGCCCATACGGGGGATGGGTCAGGGCAAGTCTCCGTGGTCCCCCAGATGGCTTCCATCCGCTCGTACACAGTGGGGTTGGGACTGCTGTCCCTTGTAAGGCTTTCTCTCACTGGCAGGACTGGACAGGCATCTCGGACTCCTGGCCACAGTAGGGTGTCCAGCTCCTTCTGCACGTCCCAGAGCCCTGCATCAGGCCCTCACTTGGTGCCAGCACCTCCTTCCCCTCTCTCCATCTTCTGATTCCGGGAAAAGCCTGGCCGGAGTGTGACGTGGGAAGCTCTGGGCTCTGCCGTCGGGTCCACTCATCGCTCTCTCCCTCTGTGGGCCACGGCAGACGGGTTCTCCAGCTCAGTCTAGAGCATCAGCCCGAGGGCCGGCAGAAGAGCAAGCCAGGGCCAGGTGGCAGCTGGGAACCGTCTTTCTTAATCTTCCCCACCGATTACTTGGGATCCGACCCACACATCTCCCGCGAGGGCTCAATTCCACAAGCACAACTCCTGGTCTTTCAGTCTTACGTGCTAGTCACTGATGACTTATTAATCTCGAATCTTTTGGCACCTCTTTCATCGAGTCAGAATTGCTTTCTTATAGTTTATATTAGAAAGATGCTTAATATACTAAAGCAAACCCAACTTTGTCCCTTTTCTCTTATTGAAACATGCCAACCAAAAAGGCCGGTGCGAGGGCCCCCACCAGCATTGGGGCCACCTGGCGGCTCTGTCCTCGGGCTGGGGAGCCACTCCTAGATCCGGGCTCGGGCCCTGACACCAGCTACCAATTTTAGAATACTGTTTCTTGGTCTCTTCATTAAAGCTGGGTGCTAGTGGTAATTGCTTTGTGGGTTAGTAAACAAGTTGTAGATGGTTTTCCAACATTCAGAGCCAATAGCCTTGTTATTGCGCAGGTATCTTGAGCGCAGGGTGGCTCGCTGACTTTGTCTTCTCGTTCCCGTCTGAGGATTCCGGAGTCCTCTGTTCATCCCTGGGGTGGAGCGAGCTCTCTGGCCTCTTCCCTGGTGGCCCAAGTTGACCCGGTTGACTGAGCCAGTCCCTTTTCTGAGGTCGTGCTTTCCCTCTCATCCCCTCACCTTCTCTTCAGCCTCTTCACATACTTCCTTTCCTTTTCCTTCCCTCTGTTATTCATGCAACAAGCGTTGAGCTGTGGCCAAGCAGTGTGCTAAAATCTAACCTGAGGACAAGATGTGCCCTGTCGTCAGAGAAGCCCATGATCGCTTGTTTTATGTAAAGTCATCTTTTCCCTGGGGCCTTGCAAGTTGGTACCTGGCATTCACATGCAGGTACTCTCTGCAGAATTTAGGTTTTCTGAGGTACTGTCTACTGTGCTTGTTCGCCTCCATTCACTCATTCATTTATTCAGCAAATGCTTAGGACAAGCCAGGCATTGTGCTGAGCAGTGGGACTGTAGTCGTGGATAAGACAGGCACCTCTGCTCCATGCACGTGCAGACATTTCTGGACAGTGAGAACATTGCACCCTTTCCACATTTAACCCCCTGGGATCCTTTTTTTTTTTTTTTTTTCATTTCAGAGTATTATGAGGGTACAAACATTTTGGTTACATTTTATATCATTGCCTCTCCCTAGCGGGAGGGGTTATAGGCATGCCCTTCCCCTTAATTATTATTTAAACTGCCATGTGGCATTTACCTAGTGGCTAGAAAGGTAGACAGCAACAGGTTCTAATTGCCCAGTCACCGGCCCTGCACAGCCCATATCCAACTCCAATTTCAGAAAGGTATTTATTTTAAATAACTCTCCTCAGTTTCCACATAGGAAGGGCGGCACCCAAGGACAGCCAGTGAGTGTCCCGAAATGACACAGCGAATGAGGAGCAGGGCTGGAGTCGAGTGTCCAGGCCACTGTCCCTGTTAACAGTCCACCCCCCCAACACCCACAGGTGAAATCAAGCTAAGGATGAGAACGTGGGGGTACGCTTTGGAGCAGCAGCACGCTGTCTGGGTGGTGCTGGTTATTTTGTTTGTGTGTATGTTTTGGTGCTTAGGGCAGGATTCGGCAGGGTTTATTCAGAGTGGGCGACTCTGGGCTCCTCTTGGGAACATCCACTGCTCTGTTTCTGGGAAGAAGTCAGCCCCTTCCACCTGCTGGAAATCAGTCCCCCACCGGGGCGACACTGATGCACAAGATTGTCTGTGAAAGCCTGATTTAAAAAATCAAAACAAACTCTAAGATGGTGTTCAAAGTGAGTTGGTTGCCACAACAACCTCTAGGAAGACCCACTCACTACCTTCTATTTTTTCGAGTGCTTTAGGTCAGTGCTGCGACCCACAGGCCTTGTGGGCCACGCAGACAGCTGCCCTGAGTGTTCTGTCCTCGGGGCCACCTTGGGCCTCCTTCCTACCTCTCCACTAAACGCCCTGTCGCCACGGAGAATCTCTGCAGCGAGAGGCCCCTCTCTGCCTGTCAGGGCTGCTTCCCAGCCAAGCAAACAGAAATAGGATTGTTTTCTGCACCCTTTGTGAAAAAACAATCAATTACTAGATCTGTGGATATGTGCATAAAAGTCTTGGCTGAGCCAAAGTCCCTTCTTGGAAATACAAGCCATAAAATTCCAAGGACATCAAAGACCTTGGCTTGTGTAGTGAATTTACTTCCAGCTGAGAAGAGCCTTGACAAGGAGAGCTAACCAGGAGGCTAAGACCTGCTGTTACAGTGCAGGTGGAGGAGAGCACTTTACAGATGTTAGGTGGGCGACAGGTCAGCGTGGGTATCATCTTATCCCCATAATCCTGCTGCCCCTACGGGGCCCACTGCTCCACTTTGTCCCCAGGCTTACTGAGGTATAATCCAGAGACAGTAAAACTCACCCTTTGGAAGTATGCGGTTCTGTGAATTTGGCAAACTTAGGTAACCACCACCAAAGATCATGTATTTCCATCACTCCAAGAAATTCCCCCCTCCCACCCTCTTCCCCTGCCAACCCTGACTGATCTGTGGACCCTACAGCTTTGCCTGTTAGAATGTCGTGGTAAGTGGAGTCCCGCTGGCATAGCCTTTCCGTCTGGCTTCTCCCGCTCAGCTTAACGCTTTCGAGTCACTCATGACACTGTGTCAGCAGTCTGTCCCTTTTCATTGCTGAGGAGTATTCCATCGCGTGGGTGCACCCTGCTGCTTCCTTACTTTCCAGTGAGTTGTTTGCCCTGCAAGTTCCTGGCCCAGGGGAGGGGGCGCTGGGGGTCTTCAGTGGTCTGCACGACCACGTCCAGCCTCGTCCTCCGAATGCCAGCTGTGCCCACAGGCGGTTCCTGGGCTCACACTCGCCCTTCTGGCTCATGTCAGGTTTTTGACAGTGCAGCAAGCAGCGGGGGAGGGGACGGGGCAGTTGGGGGCTCTGCTGCCACCCACTTCTCAGCCAGCGGATGCCCTCCCTTCCTTCTGGGCCTTCAATTCTCGTGGTTCTTGGCACTTATTGAGTGTTGGGGCTACGAAAGGCACGCGGAAGTAGCGCGATGAGAAGTGGGGGCTGCAGTGGCCGTGGTCTCACCCTTTCCTGGATCTTTGCTTCATCTGCAAACTGAGGGTAGCTGTTCTAGATGGTGTCTCAGGCCGCCAGTGACTGCACTTCTCTCTCCCCTTCTTGTTTCCGGTTTTGTCCCCTTACTAGGGTCATGCCTAATCTGGGTCTCATCTGCACAGCTGCACATAGAGTTGCTACAATTCTTGTGAAAAAGATGCCCTGGCACTTCTTTAGACTCAAATGGAGCTAAAATTAAGAGCTCTGTGAGTGTTAAGAATGAGGTAGTTCCTTCTAGGACCCACAAGGAAAGCTTAAGTCATTACCCATCGTGGGTCTGGTCCGCTGATGTTTGGTATGTCCTGGACCTCCTCCCCAGGAGCCAGGACAGGTGTGAAGACGGAGCCCCCTCCCTCCTGGTCCTTGGCACTGCTGGAGCCTTGCTGGGCTGGTGGTCACAATGAGCCTG